CAACAGAAATAGAAGAAAAAAATTGTAAAAAAATAACTAATAACATTTTCCCGCCGTGAGTTACCTGGAAAAATGTACCAATTGAATTAATGGTGTTGGAATACCTGTCAAGTTTATCCACCCTTAACAGAATCCCACCTTCTCTCTCACTCCCACCTCCTACCTGCCCACCTTACAGCAAGTTACCTTTAACTTATGTTCCCCTGTGGTAAACCCAAAGTAATAGAAGAAGAAGAAAATTTTATTATTCTTTTCTTACCTGGATACAATTCTTCAAAATTCATATGATAACTTACCCATTAAAATCCAACCGGTTTCTAGTTACGTTAATTAGAAAATTATCTTTTAAATCAGTCAATTTGTTAATTTCTTAGTTAACTAACAATTAACTTAGAAAACTTAAATTGTTTCCCAATTTTCGCGGTTTAATGAAACTTTGTTTTACTTCAGAAACAACAACAACAACAACAACAACAGATTAACATGATAATCAGTTTGATGAAATTACTTAATTTCATGTAGGTTTTTTTGCTGATTGTGATTAACTTTTTCCATATTACTAATTGTTTATTAACAATTAAATTAAAAGCATATTTTAATTATCCTTTTAGTAAGTGTACATATATTGATATTGATTCATTTTCACCTTGAATCTAATGTATTGTTTGTGGTATGAATCTTTGATTGTTTGATTTACCATTCCAATTGTTGATCATCTCACTTGATTGTGGCAAATTTGATTCTTCTCAATGATTAAGTTGATTGGTATTAATAGTTTTCAACATTTTTCTTACTGTTAATGATTATGATGATAGTTAATTTGATGGAAAGATGATTTTGATCGTAAAAAATTAATCATTAAAAAGATGATGATGTATATTGATTGTAATAGTTAAGGGATAATCAAGATTATAATCAAAAAAGGTATAAAATTAATACCCTCAAGATGAGCTGCTAATGATTGTTGTTAACATGGTCAAAGATAATCTTGATTAACTTGATTGATTTCATGGTTAACTAATTTTGATGATTTTTTCAGTCTTTAATATACAATTTATTTTATGTTTTTACTTTCATTTGATATCAATCAAATGTTGCTCACAATTTTCATGTCTAAACAATTTACTAATTACAATAAACTAATTGTGTCTCTCCATAAATCACTATAACATATAATTCATCATAAATCAAGTAAATGGGTTCACAAGTAACTGATTAACTCTGTTAATTGTTGATTAATTGTTTACACCAATTGATTGGATTCAACTTTTCTCTAATTATCTTTGTCTTCATTTTCTTTGTTATTTATATACTTCTGATTCGGATATTGAACTTTCTCATGATAATTTTAGCTCAATCATGATAATCGTCAACCATGTTATCTCACTGAACTGATTTATAATCTGATTTACTATTATTATTATCATTCTGTTGATCCTTTAACAACAATTAGCTGATTATTTGGCTTGATTACGATTGATTTGGTTCATCATTTGTAACAATTTTTTTTTGCTTAAACTTTAATCTCATTGATTATAAACATAAATTAGGATTAACTCAATTGTAAATCTGTTGATTACATGCTTATAATCATGACAGAAATCTTATATTTCAAGTTAATTGTTGACTTTAATTGTAATCGATACATTATAATACATCATGATTACCATCCCAAAAAAAATTCAATCAAAATTATCAATGATAATAACGATATAAGGGAAACAATTGAAGTTTAATTGTGTTAATCAAATTATATGTATAAATGATTATGAATGACCATTAATTAAGTTTAACAATCCATCCTAATCATTGGTAATTTAAAAAGATTAGTATTAAATTGTTCATGGTTAATAATATTTATCGTATTATAAGATTAACTTAATATGCATAATGATAATATTTCAGTTCCGGGTTTGGGTTCAAAGTGAAATCAATCCTAATCATTTTGGTTTATCTCAAATTGTTATCATGGTGAAACCTACGCACTCATGGATTGTCTGAATTATCAGTATTTTTGGAACTCTAATTTTCTGGTAATTTAGTTAATTGTGATAATCAAGTTACAGAGAAAGCGAAAGTATTCAAAAAAAAACCTACGCGATTCAATTGTTGATTTAAAAATGAACATTTTCTATCGTTATTGGGAAAAGTTAATTTCTTCCAGTATGATTAAGTAGATTTCTCTCATTGGGCTGTGGCTTTCATTTAATTACCACGTTGATGATGTTAATTGTGATTGTTTTTCTTTAATAATAAGACCATTATCAACAGAGGAGGTAAAATTCAGGGTGGGCTAGTTGTTTCAATCAATCTAAGAATCTTATTATTGCCACTTTGACAATGATAATTGTGATGAGAGGATAAAAAGATGAGCATCTCTCAGGCCCTAATCTCAGGTAAACCTTTTTTTTCAATCATCTAATTATTGGATGATGATAATACTTTAATGTCTTCAAGTTACTTATTAAATTGATTGTTTAAGGTTTAATTTATTATCTCAGGGACTAAATAAATAGCTCATCATTTATCATCCTCTTCAACTTTCAGTGGGATGAACTTGTGAGCTTCATCTTCATGGGTGCTAAGAAGGATAAAGTAATAGAGTGAGAGAGTGAGAGTGAGAGTGAGAGTGAGAGAGAGACAGGATAGTTGCAAGAAGAGATTTCATCAAGGTGATAGAGCGTATTAAAGACATTGATGTATATGATGAAGAAGGGGGTGGTTGGAATGATGATTATCATCATGACCAGAAACTTTATCTGAACTTTTTTCATCTTTTTTTATCTGTCCATTTGATTCATTATTTTCTCATGAATTTTTTGTTTCATTCTGAGGCTTGATAAAAAAAACCAGAATCAAAGTTCTGGTGAAATTTTTTTCTTCACTCTCTTATCATGAAATGACCTTCATACATTTGTCACCATTGTTTTTATCTAATCTTGATTGTTACGCATCAAAATTGATTGTAACGCATTTCAAAATACTCCATCATCATTATCGTCATCACCTTCATCATCATGTCTAGACTTTTTTTTTCATTCACTTTTATTATTAAATATCAACAATGTAAAGTTATCACTCATCTCAGCTGTTTATTTATCTTCTATTAATATCTTCAAGTTTTTTCCTTGATTTTGAATGTCAATAATTCACAATAATTTGATAAAATCATGTGAATATGTTTACATACTGTGTTTACCTGAAGGTTTTCATTGAATACTTGTCAACAAAGCATTTTCTAACTGTCAGAACGATATTGTTACCTGTTGATATCAAAGTTATACAGCTAATTGTTAGAATTGACAATTGATTGATTCCTATTTCACCCTAGCTAATGATGTATAGACGTTAATCAAATTGATTTACCACCGAAGTACAAAAGCCTTTAGGGCACAATTAATATTATTTATCTCATTTCAGAGTAAATGTTACAATTTAATGGATTCTAATTAGAGTGTCAACTAGACAGAGAGAGAGAGAGAGAGAGAGAGAGAGAGAGAGAGAGAGAGAGAGAGAGAGAGAGAGAGACAGAGATTAATTAGCTTTAAATGTTGTGTAGGTTAATTTTTTCTTAATTTCCACAATTAGCAAGTTAAATTGTCTCACAAACAGTTATATTAGCATCTGAGAAGAGTTCATATTGATCAATTGAAGTTCAAACTTTGATGAACTTTTTTTTTACATAATACATTTTACAATTTCTATTATTGATTAAAGTTGATTGTTGATTACAAACTATTGACATGTTATTATGACCCATTGGCATCAAACTAATATCAAAATATCGGCCTCTCTCTCTCTCATAGATTGCTATGATTACCCAACAATCAACGTCAGTCAATCATCATCTAGCCCAATACTTATCATCATTATCCTAATAATCATTACTATTAACATGATTATTATTGTTATGATTCTCATCATCATTGAAAGAAACCTTAAATTAGGAATATAAGGAAAAGTAATAGAAAAAAAAGAAACGACTAATTGGAGAGATGAGTGACTCTCTCATCCGCCTTATCATCATCATCATTATCTTCCTTGTTCCTTAATATTCATGGAAAAGTGAAAGAAGAGAATGGAGAAAAAATTTCTTCTGTCAAACTAATCTCATGATACTTTTTCCTCGATAATCATTATCATGATAATGAATCAACAGGAAACGATCAACAACTTTCAACCCTAACCCAAAAGTATTCAAACCCATCAAAGTGTCAATAAAAGTTATCAATATATATTTTCCACTATTATCTGATTCTCTTGCTGAGCTATTTACCTGTTTACTTACCTGTTCAGTTGAGAAATCAGTTAATCCTTAAAAGTTTCAACTACATTTTTTTTCATGGAAACAAAAAAAAACTTACCTTTGTTTTTAGGCGTAAACCCAATCATTTGTGTTGTTTGTTGTTGTTGTTTTTTACCTTGTAAACAATCAATGAAATTTTAAAAACCTTTTCAAACTCACCTGAGCATATTATATGTACTATCAATGAATATCCAACATGATATGAATGATTTTCATTTTAATCATAGTGTTGAAAAAAGTTATCAAACTTTTACGTTCATTGAATGAGTGAGACTTTATTTTTTTGTTGCTCGTTCACTTTAATTGTTGATATTTTCAATTGAGTGAAAGATAATTGTGATTTTTTTGTTCTTTTTGATCAACAATCAACAAGTTGATTTGTCAATTGAGATTCACGTTGTAATAAGTCAACAAAAATTCAGTTCTGTTTGAAGGTCAAGACTTTCCGATCATTATTATTATTCCCAATTCTTGAATCATGTTCATGGTAAATTTTTATTTACCTTTAATCCTTTTTATCACTTTATAATTGATTAGTTATGATGATGATATTTGATTGTTTTGGTAAACATTGAATTAGTTAATATGAATCTTGCTGAACAGGTTAACCATTTGTTTTCTCATTGGATTATCATGATAATGATTCTAATTGTTTTATGATTTTTTTTTCTTCATATTCTTAACATTATCTCAGGTAACAAGGAGCGACTGGTTCTCTATTTTCTGGTCTCTTTTTTGGGAACTTTTCTGATCATCTTTCTAGTCCTTTCGATCCGTTTATATGTCCAAAAACGACGAGCCATCAGATTGCTCAAAGAAACTGCCCCTTTGGTATCACCGATATCAGATATTTCCTATGAAGTTCATCGGGATACAACTTTGGATCCACTGGACATTAGCGTGCCCACCAGTCAGACAACCTTAAACCATGGACCGAATCATGGTCATCACCAACATCAGCATTCACTTCATCATCATCAACAGCACCATCCTAGTAGCCGATTACCATCAGCATTAACTTCAATTGTTACTGGTCCTGGTGGTGGTCACACACAGACTCACCTTGATAGTCAATATCAACCATTATTAACATCACCTCGTCATCATAATCATCATCATCGATCATCATCATCTCGTCAAGACTCACCACAAACCTCACATTCAGTGTCACAATCACCACAACAATCACCCCAAAGGTTATCATTATTACAACCTGATTCATCCCAACAGCCAAATACATCAACCAATAGCTCTAATAATAATAGTAGTAATACCAATGGTAATAATAGTAATTTAATTGTAAATAGTAATGAAAATAGTCCTGTTAATAGTAATGTCGATAATTTAATTAACCCTTCAATTGATGAAAGTCAACGATTGTATTCACCAGTCCCGTCATCGAGTCAACGACGAAGTACAAGAGAATCATCTTCACCTCGAACAATTAACTCATCACCTTCAACCGATGCCAATAATAGTCCACGACCAGCGTCAATTGGTTCAAACAATCAACCAAATCAACGAGCTAATTCAATTGCCAGGCAACAACAATCAAACGAAATGATCATTGGTTATTCATAAACTGGAATCTTTATCATCACCAAGAATTGATTGATTAACCAGAAAAATTGCGAAAATATCAAGTTTTGGATTGATTTTATGACGATGGTTAAAATTAACTGATTAATTGTCAAACTTCATCAACATAAATTACATTCCAATTAAATAAATCGCTTCAGATTTTAATTTGGATCAAAAAATGATGGGAATTAATGTTATGACAACTGATGATTTCTAATTATCCAGAATGATTGATAATTAATTGATTAATTTGATCATCAAATGACTAAACAACTAATTACGTTGATTTAATTGCGATGTTACAGCAATTTGTCATCGTTTTTTTCTAATCAACTTAATTCAATTTCTGGTCAACAATTAAACTTTTTTTGAGGACGGAAAAAAGTTAATCTAATGTTATTTATAAGACTTTGATTGTTTTTATTGCCTTAATTGTAAACCGATATCAATTAATTGCCATGATATTGGGGTAGAAAATGGTTAATTAATTGTTGCTTATCTACTTTAAATTGTGTTCATCAATCTCTACCTCTCCTTAATTGTAATTTCCCTCTTCCTCTATCTTCCTTTGTGCTAATTAACTAATTGTACTTTTTGATTACGAACAATATTTCACCAAATTAACTTGATCAATTATCCCAATTTTTTGTCCCATACTAATATTTGTTCAAAATGTAAGATTAATTGTTTCAAATCAAACACAAATCATTAATTGAATTTCGCTCTTGATTCAAAAATACAAATCGCCAATTTTTTAATCATTAATCAAAAACAGCACTTTAATCAACTATTGTAATTTATAAAAGAAAAACAATTTATAAAGAGCTTTATTTAATCAATTGTCTTTCGATTCTCAATTTAAATTGATAATCTTTGATGATTACAGTTGATAGCTTATGATTAAGCTTTGAAAATTAAATCTACTCTTTAATTGCCACTTTTACAATTTAAATGGATCAATCAAATGATACTTTTTGATGATTTAATTGCTGTTAACATAAAAGTTGATTTACTTGTGTTTGAGTTTATTCAGGTAACTTTATCGGGACATTATGAGAAAACAACATAGAGAGTGAGATCATTTGAATAGAAAGTTGAATTTTCATCCGAATAAGTAATTCTTTCAACAGTTAAAGTGTTAAATACCAAAAGTAATTATGATATTTGATAAAATTTTAGCGCCTAATTTTTTCCTGTTGATTATTTTCGTGGGAGTTATGCTATTTTTACCCTGTGGGGCTATTGGTGCCAAAACAAATTCTGTTGGTGGTGATTTAATTGATAGTACTGCTTATGCTTTCGCTACCCCTTCTTCTGGTAGAGGATAGTTTATTAGAATTAGCCAGTGGAATATCTTCTACACTGAATTCCACATCAAATCATCAACAAGTTTATCGAGAAGCGACCGACGCGTAAGGGAATATTTGGAAAATATAAAATATACAAAGTTTATACAATGTAAAGTATATAAAATCATCTTTGATTAACTCAATTGTCACGATGAAAACCGAATCGATTCAATAAAGTTTAAATATTAATACAAAAAAATCAACTCATTTGTTTCTTCATTTATTCATAATCTTGACCATTGAACAGTAGAGTTGAAAACTCTAATATTTTTAACTTTTGTCTTTCAATTACTTTAGGACTTTTGGTCAGTGTTTTCGAACTTGATATCGAAAAATTCTCGAGACCTAAGGAGTCCAAAAATGTCTTGTATTTTAAAATATCAAATCAGCTCAATTTAACCCAATAAATTTGATTGATTTATCCAAAATTTACCCAATGTTAAAGTGCAATATTGTCAACTTGGTAGTTGCAAATGATTTAAATTTACTTTCAGAACTTGTGATAACAATTGAGCTGAAAAATTAACTTTAATGCTCCCAAATGAAAATAAATATTACTAATGAATAAGTAAATATAAGTCTTTGATTGTTTGTCCTCATATTTATTAACTTGGTGCGTTAATTTAATCAGGTGTGAACAATTAATGAATGTTAACCAAGGTGGAATTGTCAATAGTATTGTCACTTCTTGTCTAACGATCAAACTAATCAGGTTGATTACGTTAAGTTTCGCATTGGTTTAAGTTTGAATGATGGATTTTAAACTGTTTTTGCTTCTGTTTTCGTTAACTGTTGTGTCTGTTTCATCACAGCGACCATACCAACGTCCACCTCCGCCATCTCAAATCTCATCATCATCGTCGTCATCATCTTCATCATCAGGAGGAAACGGAAATGTAAATGGAAGAGGAGGTGGTGGAGAGGAAGATTACTCTCAATCCAGATCCCAAAACAATAGGAAAAACTCCTTCCAGGATCCTCGCTTAAAGAAAATGAAGGAGCAAGTAAAATCACACGCATTTGACGTTTATCATGAAGCGATCGACGTGTTAGAGGCTTATTTGGATAAATTGAAAAATAGAGTATAAAATCATCTTCGATTAACGTAATTGTCACGATTAAAACCGAACCGATTCAATAAAATTTAAATACAAATAAAATCAACTCATTTGTTTCTTCATTTATTCATAATCTTGAGCATTGGACATTTCATGTTATTCGACAATTTCGTTAGCGAGGTGATGAGGATTCGCCGGGATGATCGGTCACTTGGACTTATAACCAAGAGACTGAGCAAGCATATCGTTCCAACCAAACACCGATTCCGCCACGGTACCAAAGAAGAACCTTCGAATTGAATCGGTTATTCTTGCAGTTTCGGCAAGTTGATCAGGAATAAGATTGGCGATCGCATTGAGACCCTTCAGATTTTGTCCACTAGCTTGACCCATCGAACCGATTATTGTACTCGAAATTATAAAACAAATGAACAGAATATACTTGTAGTTTGATTTCATTGTAGTAATCAACTAAATGATTAAACTATTCAACTGATAAGATTCGTCGCATCAAATTTTCACTTCAATTTCTACTTGCACTTTTGTTGATTGTTTGACATTTGGGTGATACCTCTATGCAAATATACAACAATTATCTGATTAAATAATGAATTCACTAATTAACAAGACGTAGTTTAGCTTATACATGTAGTTAAGGTGATTTTGTGCACCTCGAACTATTCACAAGTGAAAAAAGAGCTCACTATCAATTTCAATTAAATTTAAAATGTTAATTGTCTTGGTCATTTAAGCCCTAAAAAGTCTTAGTCGATTGACAAACTGTTGAATTAATCTTTTAAATTGTCGCAAATAGATTAAACTAAATCTTCAAAGAAGATACGAATTTTGTGAGACTTGTTACCCTGTTTTCGTTGAAACAAAACTAATAACATCTCATTATGCACCGAACACCCAAAATAATAAACTGAGTAATCACATCTAATCAAACTATTAACTATTACTAATAGTAAATTGTTTATTGATTTTTACTTATAAATATCAATATAAGTTAATTCATTATGGAATCGTCTTTGAAATGACAATCATACAATTAATACGATTCACGGTTTCTGATATAAACATCCTTAAGACCTTTAAACACTACTTGTGAACATTTTCATGCAATTTAATTCTGGTCAGTTAATATTAAATTAACTAATTTTTATCGTTCCCAAACTTTTGAGCTTGATTGTAGAAACTAACTAACTATAAATGATGCAACTTCCAGTTCCGAACTGATAAGATTCAACTTCGTCGTATTAAATTTTCTACTTGCACTTTTGTTGATTGTTTGATATTCGGATGCTTCCTTTATGTAAATGTAAATATACAAAAATTTACTGATTAAATAATAAATTCACTAATTAACGATGAAATTGTCCACGTGTATTAATCCTTCAAGTTGTTGTTTTAAGAAAATCATATAAAAGGTAAAATCATTTGAATAGAAAACAGCAATTGAATTTAATTTCCATCCGAATAAGTGATCATCTCAACGAAGAAATTTTAAATTGATTAATACAAAAAACTATGGGTCTTCAACGTATAACTTTAAATTGTTTCCTGTTCATCGTCATTTTTATGGGGCTTATGTCATCTTTATCCTGTCAGCTCAACGGTGACGGTAATGGTGGTGATCTTTCTGGCGGTAGTGGTTACGGCGGCGGAGATGATTTGTGTTTTCCTAATTGTGGTTCTGCTCTTGGATGAAATTCGTACGTTTGTCCCACTATTAAGCAGCTTAAATAGTCGTCCTAACTCAATGAATAATATTGAGACGCTTCTCTATCTGCTCATCTGTACTAATTAATATTTAAAAATGTTCGAATTCTTGATGATTTTATTATTAAATATTGTACATTGATATTACTTTTTGTCTTAATTTTACAGCTACGAGTCGAATTGATAATCAGTTTGATGACGATTGAATTGTATTGATTGTTCAGGTTGTTATTGTGAGAAAATCATATAAAAGGTGTAATCATTTAAATAGAAATTAGTATTTGAATTTAATTTCTATCTGAATAAGTGATTTTTTGGTTCTTTTTTTGTGTTGAAAAATTAAATTAACTAGTAATCACTTGATTTGTTGGGCTGGTTGATGAATAGTTTTGATTTGAAATTGAAGAGACAATAATGTTGGTCGATTCGGTGTTAGCGGCATCGCGATTAAGATTATCTTTGGTGAATATTGCAGAAATTAGAGCGATAATTGTCATCAATAGAATTGGGGTAAAAGCGTAATATAAATTGTAATTATGAAGAAGATAGGAAACTGCATCCGTAGCCGCCCAACTGACACCTTGATTACAGAACATCATTAGAGTGGCACAAATTGATTCGGACATTGGATAATTGGCCTGAACAATAAAGTCCATACCTATTGGAAAAGTACCTTCGAGTAATAATCCAAGACAAATGACTATGATGAAGACGAAAATTTTACTTCCAACTTTAAGAGAATAGATGAAAAGACCGAACAACGGGAACATAAATATACACATAAGAAGAGTGACCAGTCGATATTTTCGAGTCCTATCGGTTACCCAAGCAAGTGCTCCCGATCCAGGGATACTTAAAATGGCCACAACAGCACCAAGAATACCAATGAATGAATTTTGACCGGGAAAATCTTTCTCCACCATTGGACTTAATAGGGCGAGAACAACATTGGTTATTGATTGAAGAAAAGTGTAACTGACGAGGATAAAATTTGAGTTTCGATTGGTTAAAATTGATCTCCATGCTTTAAGAAATCCCGCTCCGTTAACTGAGGCTTTGGCTGAGGCTAAACTTGGCGGGTGTTTGGGCCGATTTTTAAAGAAAATTAAGTTAATAACCAATATTACACCCGCTGAGATTGTATATACAAGATGGAAACGTTTCAGGTCAGTTTTTTGGACACTTGGGGTCGTATCGTTGGGTACAAATAAAGTTGGTAACAGGTAACCCAATCCACCGCCAATGTAAATTGGGAAAAGTGCAACCGCTGTGATGGTTGAGGCAATTTCAGCTGGAAACCAAGTTGAAGCCACACTAACGGGTAAGAAAAATGTGAAAACTTGACCAACAGCGGCTAAAGCTTGACCAAAACAGACAAGGATAAAATTTGAATAAACTATTGAGAAATATTTAACAGCTGATCCAGCGAGATTGGCAAGTGAGGCCATTAGGATACAGAAACGAATACCAATCTTATCCAAACAAATGGCTGAGATAAAACAACCAACCATATAAACTGGATACCAAATTGTGACGGTCCAGTCGAGGTCAGTGTTGGTAACATTAAAATAAGAACGGCAAACATCAGCTATCACTTGGAATTGAGTCCATTGTGAATTTATATGGAAAATGGTAAGACAATGAAGACCCAATACAAGGAATCGTTGTTTGGATAATTTAATTTCAACATCCATATCGACGATCAGTCTCCTTGGAACAGTTAATTATAAGATGTCCTTTTGGCCTTTCACACCAGAATTTAGGTTATATCAATTCAGGGTAACAAGTTATTCAATTAGTATTACATGAAAGTGATAATTGATATCATGTTTGAAGATTCAGTTTAACGTGTTCTTGACAATTTACAAGATTAATTCAAGTATTGATCAACCGATTAAGTGTTATCACCAAGATAATCAACGTTTCAAGGTTGATTGTAATCTTTTAGGCTCAACATTAAGTCAATTTGATTAGCACGTTGGTTTAAACACTTATAATGTGTCTATGAGACGTTGCTTGATTATCCAGAGCTTAATTGGAAAGCCTGATTGATTAAACTCTCCAGGCTGATGATTCTGTTGAATAACAAAGGGAAAGAATTAGTTTAAATCATCAAATTAAATTGGCTTACAATTGGTATTTACATTACCTTATTCAAGGGTACAAATGAAACATCAGATTGTTTGAAAGTAATAACAATTGCGAGAGAGAGAGAGGGTGAAGTAATCAACAGGAAAAGGTTGATAATTAACCGGCTAATTGTTGGAATGTAATCAAATAAATGATTACTGATTGTTGGTACATCATCAATGAATATTTGACATTGAAATACAATCTAATTAACTGTGGAAATTGGTGGTAATTTAGATTTTAATTGTTGTTGGTTTTCTCATTTACTTTTGAGAGATGGCGAGAGAAACATGAACACATAGAGATAACAAAGAAACACTGGAATTATTCAGGATTCACCTTTGAACATCAGTTTACTATTGATAGTAGGATGATGACAATAATTACAGTTGATTGGAAAATAACAAGATAATTAATCATTAGTGATGATGATATAAACCGCATCAGAGATTAGCCAATGTTGAATAAGAGATCCGATTGGGAAGAGCAACAGGAAAATTTAGTAAACAAAGAAAAACAAAAAGAAGAGAAAAGTAAGAAAAATGGAGAAAAAAAGACAATTAATTTGATTCTTAATCGACTAAAGAACAATAATACAATCATAATTGTCTAATTGATAACAATTAAATTGGGAAAAGAATTAATTACTCACCAGAATTAATTAGAAGAGGGAAACAAATGAACAAAAAGAAATCAAAACAATGACTGGAAAGAAAAAGAAACCAGAAAATATAATCACATGTTCTCAACCCAAACTGGTCTTGAGATGATTTGTTACTCTTTTCTTCAACAATTTAACCAAATTGTCACAATTAACTTCTATCGATGGTTAACTGTGTAATTAAAGATCCCAGAGATAGTTAATTACTAAAACATAAACAACAATCAGAAAAATCAGATTATCTCATTTTCCCAATGAGGTTGAAAAACCAAAAACAATGAACGATTGAGTTGATCAACAATTAACCTTGACATGAGTAGTAAATCAGTACAATTAACTCAAGTGAAACAGTTACAACAATTGTGACTTAAAGTGAAGTAAAAGTGTTCGGGTTAAAAAACGAAACAATTAAAAATGAAACAATTTAATCAGCAGGATTACAGTTGATCTGAAATCATAATTACATAGAAAAGATTAGTTTACAAAATGAACAATTGATTTTGAGAAACATCGGAAACAATTAAAAGTTTTTCTCTAATTAGTCAAATGGATTCCAATTGTATTCCAATTCCTAGAAACTTATTTCCGGAGAAAATGTTGTAGTCAAGTTAATTGTTGCATCGGACGAACTGTTTCCTGGTACTAATCGTTTGTAGATATTTTCAAAGAAATTGGGATTATCTCTCATGAAGTCACGAATCGAAGGCCAAAAGTTTGCGAAAACTTTGGCCAACAGTTCGAAGCGGTTAATGTCCAATCCGGGAAAGAATCCTTTTAATTGTTGTAACATTACGGCCAAAACGGCCTCACGGATGAATTCACCTTGTTGTTGTTGGGGTTGTTGGAATTGTAGTTGATTAATTGTTTGATTAGAATCGTTGATTAAATCCTGATAGGATAAAAGGTTATCCATTGAATTGATTTCGTTTGATTGTTCAACTAGAGTTTCAATTGTTTCGTTAAATTGTTTCACCAATTCAATGAACGATTCCAATTCTTTACCGTTTGGTTTGGGTAGATAATTTAAATCATCTTCTAATTGTAACAATTTACCTTCCAATGGATTTGATTGAACACAATTAAGTGAAATTAAGGATAAGCAAATTATTGATAATTGATTGTAATTCATTTTTTTTTAACTTTGTTGATGTTTTTTTTGTTGTTGTTGTTGATTGTTTTGTAATTAATGGTAACAGCAATTTAAATTGATTGCTGATAATCAGTGGCTTTTTATATTTAATTGTCTAGACAATTAAGACCTCCATAATTGTCCTAGATTTAATTATTTATATGGGTACAAGAATTAATTAATAAGCAAGGTAATAAAATCTTCCTTGTGAGATTTGATTTAATTGTCAACAATTAACAATGTTGATCTTGTAATCAATTTGGTTGTTAAAGGTTTTGTTTTCACTTGTTTAATTTAAATTGTTACTTTGTAATTTGATTCAGTCAAATCACTGATTAATAATTAATTGTGGTCTAATTTTATAATTTAACTTAATTGTTGAATAACAGACAATCAATTTATTTGATTTGATGAAGGTTTGAGATGAATAAGTTGTTAATTGTTCATCATTCAAATTAGTTAATTGCTGTCATCTAAACCCTCAATTAAGGTAAATCTTTTTTAATCATTGACCTTAATTAGTGAGAAAATTAATTCTAATGGTACCTGCATCTAGGAAGTAATTAAATTGATTAAATACTCATCAAATTAAATTAAATTGTCATTGTCATTGTTACGGTAACAATTACCTAATCATTAATATGAATCTATTAATATTTTCATGGTCTAATCAATGGCCAAGGTGATTAACAATCAATTTTTCTGATTAAATTAACTAACATGAGTTGTAAGTTGATCAATAGATTGATTAATAATCAATTAACATTGGAAATTATTAAATTGTTACAATTTCCTTTCTTATAACAAAGTTTCAAATAACAAAACTTTAATCGTTTCAATTGAAATCAGTAAATTGTCACAAAACAATTTAATTAAATTGAATTAAATAGTAACAATTTATTTCAAGGTACCATTGAATTAAATTTCCTTATAATTATAATTAAAAGGACTAATCAAATTTAGATTGAAACTTAAATTGTTGTTAGTTTGTTAAAATCGGAAATAAGGTTCAGTTTAATTGCTTCTTCATGTAACCACAATTAACTGTCGCAGACAATCAACTGACAACAATCAACAACAATTTAAAGAGCTGAATTATAATCAATAGATTGTTGTCCCAATCAAGTTAATATTTTTCAACAATTTGGTTAATTGTTTTGTTTACATGAATTTCAACCTTGGCTTTAAGTTAATTGGGGAAAGCAAAAGGCTAATCAGAAAAAAACAATCGTAAACAATTAACCTTTAATTGTTGATTATTGATCAGTAACGTTAACGATAACAATCCGATCTATTAAATCATTTAATTTTCACCTGAGATAAAGGTGAGAGATTAAATTGAGTTGATTAATGAAATAATCAACTGAATAAAAAAGTGATCTCTCCATGGTTGGTTAATCCATCCAACAATTGGCTCTAATTGATCAGCAACAATTAAGCAATTTCCTTTTTTTCCCAACACCCTTAACAATCAACCACAACCTCTTATTAGTTACAATTAGAGACAAAAATTAATCAACTACAATTTGGTGACAATTTAGACAAACGGTTAACAATTAAGGATAAAGTTTACAATTCAAGTGTATTGACAATTTTGTGTTTTAACAACAAACGAATCAATTGTTGATTAATTATTTTAGTAAATTGTGATTCCTTCAGTTTATTAAAGTATGTCCATTAATCACTGTTAATCAAGTGTCTTTTTGATGAACAACAATTAACTAATTTTGATTGAGAAAACAAAATGATCGCCAACAACACCAATCGTTCAATCATTTTCTTGATCTTCATTGGGATTACAATCTTTGGACAAGGTAAGTTGATTAGCTTTTCTTAATTGTAATCATATCGATATTTCCTAGTTAATTAAGATGATGTTTGAGGATTTAAATGTACTGTGAGTTAATTAGACATCAATAAGTAATTATTTTCCTTTTCTATGGTTACTGATTCAAGGTGAATTCGAGGGTCTAGAAGTTTAATTTCCTCTGGTTCTAAACTGATAATAAAACTGATTGATTTCTGTTTGTTTCCTTTTCCTTTTTTCGAGATTAGTTCATTCAAAGACCGAAGATATTTCCAATAAAGTGTTTAAGTTGTACTCTAGTAAACCTAATGGTGTTAATCTATTGGATCTTGGTCAATGGTTAACGGATGCCATTCAAGAGCGATACTCAATTCCAGAGGTCAATGTAACGGAAAAAGGATCGGTCACCTCATACAAAGCTTCGTTTACCAATGTTTCGGTAATTGGACTAAGACCTGAACAAATAGTGACCATTGAATTGTTTCTTAACAGTCCAGAGATTAATATCACCTCAACATCGGCGAAGGTCAATTTGGATGGTATATATTGGGTCGATGGTAAATTTACCATTTTCCCGTTCAAAGGGAACGGATCATTTGGCCTGGAACTTACCAATTTTCTGATGAAAACTCGACTGGTACCAAACAAAATAGACTCGAAAAGTGATGATTTAAAGGTTACATGTGACGCTGGTTTCGGTCAGTTTGGTCAAAGATACGTTGGACTATTGGAAAATTCAGCTTCGGCTCCATATTCTCGTCGAGTGAAAAATAATCTGTCCCATAATTTGTTCCAATCGGTAAAGAATCAACTTTTATCTTCTATTACCGATTCTCTGAAAACCAATTACATCAACAGGAAGGATAAGGTAAACATGGACATTTTATACCCAACAAGTGAAACTTTGATCGACGAATGGTTGAATCGAACTCGATCTGTTATTATGGACAAAGGTTACGATCCTTATGGATTAGCTGATTATTCTCGTAATTTTTCAAATGATTTCCGTCTATTTAAGATAACGGGAAGTTTAGAGATTTATAATGGGACAATTAACGGTTTATCGACATTATCTCGAGTGGGTCCTGTTAAAGTTATCTATTTTAAAGATTCCCTTATCCTGGAAATGAATCTTGGCTTTAAAAATTTGACCGCTTCTTATGATTGGAAGATTAATGTCGGTAAATCATCTCGAACTGGTAAAATCGCCACCAACATCACTTATGTATCAACTTATCTTCGGCTTGTACAACCACTTAGTCCTGGATCAGCTCTTAATCTTGAGACCTTTGAAATCCGTCATCTTGATCACATTTGGTTGGACATTACGGGAATACGAACTTGGGATTATCTTCTCGAGGTTATCGTTAATCTGGGCACTCGAGTTATTCGTAGTCGAATTGGTGAAATGCTAACAACTTCCTTAATGACTGTGGTTAAAGACGAATTGAGTAAAAATAAACTAACCAACTTGTAGATTAATCATCATAAATTGTTCCTAATTTACTCGCAATCAAATAATACATTATGAGTTATCAACGATCAAAAAGAGATCATGATTAAAATGAGACAATAAAAATCACCAACAACAATTAACAAACGATTGTAATTTTAATTCTAATTACAGTTATGTAAGTTGTAATTTCCTTTGTTTTAATTATCTTCTAATTAGTATTAACTAATCACTGATAAAAATTAAGTCCATCTAATCAACAATCGAGTTGAAAACTTTTTTGATAAGCCAATTTGATAAAAAACCTTATAGCAATTAGTTAACTTATTGCTGATCACTTGAAAACGATAATCAAACAATTAACTAAATCGATTAGTCTAAGATCTGAAAACATGATAATCTAAATCTCATTTATTATTGATTATTAATTATTACAATCTGATGATGATTAGTCATAACTAAATCAAGAACGACTCCTCATAGTAAATTGTTATTAACAAAATCGAAACTAAATTCAATCAATCTAATTGATTACCACTTAATCATTAACTATTATATGGTCAAGTATTGAGAAACTAGATCAGTAGGTTGGACAAAATAATCTTAATTGTGATTAACTATTTTACCAAGGAAAAAGTAAAATAATAATCATAGAGAAAAGTCAATTAAATAACAACAACAACAATTAACATGAACGAATGATAATATTTTCAATTGATTATTTAATTATTAAACAATAGTGGGTGGATTTAAATACTTTAATCAACAATTAGATGAATAATATTAAAGTAAAAAATTAACTCATCTGATCATGAATGAGGTAAATTCAATGATTAACTATGAAAGTAAAACAATTAAATCAACCCAAGTTCAAGGTATTCCCAGGGAATTGATTAATTTAATGATCAGAATCAAAAGGAGTGAAGAAAACTAATCAATAAGCAAATAGCAATTTAGCTTAACAATTAAATGTTGATCACCAGTGGGAAACAAAAACTAAGGTGACGAAAGTTAATTGTTGTTAATACTCATTGGTAGCCAATCGGTGTGAGTAAATTTTACAGTTAGAAAATGATTTTTGGTAAACAATTAAAAGGTCATTTAAATTTGATTTGTTTACTATCAGTGACGGTGATACTTTCTAATCAACCCTTGACCATCGTTGGTCAAGATTTGAATCAAGTTTGTTATGAAATATTTGGTTGTTTCACTTGGACAAAGTTTATATTTTTCACTCCTGATTCACCTGAAAAAATTGGTGCAACTTTTAGGATTTACAATTTATCCGATGTGACCACTGGCGATCGGACAATTAACTATCACAATTCAGTTAATTACGATCTGTTTGACAATTCAACTTCGGTTGTTTTCATAATCCATGGGTGGCTTGATGATGGTCAAGAATCTTGGTACAGGACAATGTTTAAACCGCTTCTGGGTAATTATGATCTTCTTGTTTCCGTTGATTGGTCTAAAGGAGCTTCCGGCTTATTGTATCCAAAAAATGTCGCTAATTGTCAATTAACTGGACGGGAAATTGGTTATTTACTTTATCGTCTCAACTCTGAACGTGGTCTCGATCTTGGGAAAGTTCATCTTATCGGCTTCAGTCTCGGTGCTCATATCGCTGGACTTGCTGGACGTTGGACTAAACAACAATATGGGTTAACTGTTGGTAGAGTTACAGGTAAATTAGTTGATTGTTTACAATTAGAATTTTCCGATTTTCCGGTTTTTCTTGATTACATGAATATTGATTTGAGTATTTCTCATTTTTATCGAAGGGAATTAAGTTTGTGAGTCAGAAATTCTGACTAATGGACAAGATTTAAAGAAAGAAATTTTCGTTTATTCCTTTTAATCATCGAGTCAATTTTTCTATTAACATGATTGCTTGTTAGTTTATCTTCAACAATTTTTTTGTTACTTTTTTTATATTAGTTTGCATATGAGGATAGGAGAGGGGAAAAAGTTTTGAATATATGTGCGGATGGATAGAAATCAATATGATTAATGAGAAGAGATATGAAAATAATGATTAATGATGAAAAATGAAAGAGAAATAAGTGGCAATAGTGAAGAAAATTGCAAAATAACAATCGGATAAATTGATGAGATCTTTACAAACAGAGAAAAATGTAAACATAAATCAGTTCGAAATGTGAAAACTGGATTAATTGTACTTTGTTTCGATTACATGAAAAAAAAGGTTTGGATGCTGCTGGGCCGTTAATTGATGGAACGATTATCCAATTGAACAAGACGGATGCCGATTATGTCGATGGAATCCACTCAAGTTCAGGTTCGATTGAAGGAATTGTCCTTGGTCGTTTGGGAACTAAAATTCCGTATGGGCACAAAGACTTTTATCCTAATGGAGGTTCAGATCAACCTTTCTGTCCATTCCCTTGGTTGGATATGAAATGTCGTCACTATGCAGCGATTAAGTTTTTCACTTCCTCAATAGATCAGTGTGATTATCAGTCGAGCAAATGTGATTCCTGGAAACAATTTACTTCCGGTGATTGTGATGATCAATCTACAATTAAAGCGAGAATGGGATTAAAAAGTAATCTAGATGATGGTGAGGGCTCATTTTATCTTAAAACAGGCAAAGAGTATCCTTATTGTTGATTATTATTAGAAAGAAATTGTTTACTGATCAACTTTTTTTCCTATTCTTCTTCAAGTGACTTTAAAAGTCTAATCAGTCTACTGATAATGTTAATCATCAGTAAACTTTAAAAAAAAAATGTCATCTCTTACCTCTGATTGCTTTTTATTGCTAATTATCAATTGTTTATTGCGGGGATATTATTCCGATGTCGCTGTCCGATTATGAACATCACTCAAATCCATAAGATTCACATATGAACTTTGAACACACCAAATTGTAATTTTGAGGTCGTTAATATGTACATAATTTGTTGAAATTGTTGATCTGTTTGATTGTTGAATCATCGTCGTTATTGTAAGATTAAAGTTTGTCTTGTTGATTTTTCGGTGAGAAAATTGAAAGAACCAGAAATGGAAGATGATTTTTAACTCGATTGTGGAAAAAAATTTGATCCGATGATTACACTTTAACTCGTTGCCTTTTGGATTTTTTTTGTTTGAAGATGTTGGAGAATAAAAGTTGCTGAAGATATATTAGATACTTAAAGCCATTTTTGAAGTAATTAAATAACGTGTTTAAGTTACAAAAATGTAATTGTCAATGCGATGGAACAAGTTGGTTAATGTGTGTGTATATATAGAAAATTTTTGTCAGGTTTGTTTTTTTTGAGTAATATTTGTTTGATGATTTGGTTATATAAAAATTAATCCATCACTATCGTCACCAATTGTCTATGTGGGGTTAAAGTATCTATCCAATCCGTTCTCCTCGAATACGTAATGCCAATTGCATGTCCCGAGCCATGATGGTTATTCTTTTCGCATGGATAGCACATAATTGGGTGTCTTCAAAAAGCCGAACAAGATAGGCTTCGGCTGCTTCTTGAAGTGCACTAAGAGCTGCTGATTGAAATCTTAGGTCTTCATATTCATATTGATGGGAAATTTCACGAACCAGCCGTTGAAATGGTAAACGAGGAACTAAAAGCTCAGTTCTCTTCTGATAACGACGAATCTCACGTAAGGCAACAGTACCAGGTCTATAACGATGTCTCCTTTTAACACCATCATCATTAGATGTACTTGCCTTCAGGCCTTTACCTTTACCTTTACCTCTTTTGGTTTCCAATTTTCTTTTCAACTCCTTCCATGGGGTAACTGATTTACGAGCCTTTTGAGGAGGTTTAATCTGTTGCTTTGTTCGTGCCATGATAAATAAACTACAACAGAAAACAAACACAAACAAAGAAAAAAAATACAAATAAGGTTCAATTTAAAAATGAATAACGAATTATTAAAATTTGAAACAAGAACAGGAAGAAAAAAGAAAGAGAAAACAAAAAAGAAAACAAAACCACTCACAATGAAATGTAATCCTTTTTATTGTAGACCTAATTTTCACTATAAAGCTTCGTGTTAGTTAATGTAATCAGAAGAAATTGATGATTTAATTAAGATGCGAGATAAAGATTAATTTAGATTACATGAGATTAATTTAGAAAGTAAACAAATTAACGTAATTGTCAAAATGATTCCATGAAAGAAGAAATTGAGCCTAAATATTGTACTTGTTTTCTACGTTGCCACTGGTTACCGAACTTCTCTCATTGGTCAAATCGAAAACGTGGGAGGAGCTACGCTTAGTGTTCTTTTTTGAACCTTTAGGAACATCGTTATTTAGAGACTAGTCTTTGTTTTCTTCATCCAACTCGTTTCACGTTTTAATCATTTACAACAATTAACTAAATTTATTTTCTTTTAATTTCTCTTGATAAATTATTTTGATAATTCTTGTTTTGTTCTTGGGTGAATGTTAGGTGGTTTTATTGTTCTTTTTTCAATTTGATTCTTCGTACAATTGGTTTTTCTTTTTTATCGGTTTTGTGATTTTGTATTTTGCATTTTGGCTTTTGGATTTTGGATTTTGTCTCCTTTGTTTGGTTTTAATTTTCAACATGGAAAACAAATCACCTCTTTTACCGCCACCACCGCCACCACCTCCTGCATCAGCTTGTAGAGCTGATGAAACACTTCAAATATTGGATCTTGAAAATCTTGATCTGACACTGACCACTTCTGATTTGGGTAAAAATTGTAAAGAGTTTTCTAGCTACGCAACCGATATTTCTAGTGTCAATGAAATGGATATGGCTTTTGTTGATTCTATTCTGGAATTGTCCAAATTTGACCTATCTAAACGTCAATCTTCCAAGTATGAATTATCTAAACTGGAACTATCAAACAAAACGTGAAATATCAAACCGAGAACTTTCCCAGCTCGAATCATCCATATTAGAAATGCCCAAGGACGGAATCTTAAACACCAATCATCCAACATGAAGATTCCCAAACAAGAGGTAACAGAAAACGAAAACGAAAATGAAAAACCAAAACCCGATGAGGTCAGTGAAAAGGTTTCCATCGGCAATGAATCACCGAAACAAGAAAATTCCAAACACGAATCTTCCAAACTCGACCTGGTCGAGTTCGCAACACCCGCTCGGCCCGAATTCAATATTTCGGCTCCATCTCCATTCACCTTCATGATTAACAAATTTTCCAAATAATTAACATTGATTACATCGATTTACATTTTTTTCTCTCTCTCTTCTTTCTAAATGGTATTAGTTGAGTTACTGAGTCTTTGGTTGATTAGAGGTTTTTGATGGTTAAAAATTAAGATCAGAATTGTAAATTGTTTTTCTGCGATCAATTTTCCTTCTAAGTGATTAGTTTATCAATCATCATAAATATTTAAGCTCCGATCTATTGATATTTGGGTCTTCACTACCTGAGGCTCTAATGTTAGAGGCCGAGGCAGAATGTGAAAGGCTTTTCGGTAAACCAGATGATTTAGTAAGATTTGATGTGATTATGCAAGCTTTTTTAATTATTGATGGTTGGCTAATTGTTAATGGCGGATTGTGTGATGGAACTGAGGTTTGATATTGTTGAGATTGAGGTTGTCGTTGTTGGTAAATAAAACGTTGTAATAGATTTGATGAAGAGGTTGTTGGTTTTTGTCGTAATTGGATTAATGTACTTGTCGTCGTGGTCGTGGTCGTGGTCGTGTTTATATTTGTTGTTGTCGGTGTTGGCGGTGGTAATGGTGAGCTTGAAGGGGACGGTGAGGGTGAAGGTGAAGGTGATGTTGAAGGTGGTGTTGAATGAAGGAGTGATATTAAAGACGAAGCCGATGCATTAGTTGTAGGTCGATATAAACGTTGAGTGATTGTTGTTGGAGTTGTTGTTGGTATTGTTGTTGTAGTTATTGAGGTTAAAGTTGAGGTTGAGGTTGAGGTTGTAGAGGGACTGGTAAAAAAAGCCCTTCTCAGTTCATTTAATGAGGGTTTGTGGCTAGTTGAAGTTGAGGTCATTGTTGTTGATGGAGTTGCCGATGTCATTGTTGAACTACGAGTTAAACCAAGATTGATTGGTTGTGATTGGGGCAATTGGAGAAACTGTTGAAAAGATTGAGATTGAGATTGTTGTAGTTGATGTTGCGATGGTGGCGGGGGAGGTGGAGGTGGATGCTGTGGCTTTTGGGGCTTTTGCTTAAATAATTGCGGTTGATTTTGTAATTGTTGAGATTGTTTGGATGGAATAAGAGATGAGCCAGTTAATCTTGATGCTTGACCAGGAGACAATTTAATTACAGCAGTTGATGTATAGTAAGAGGGTGATTGTGGATTATATTGTCGTAAACGATTCAAATCAACTACATTAGTTGGTCGGGGAATTTTATCACCACCAGTGTTTGTTATTGATTCCAATGTAGTGGCTGATGGATCTCGATTCATAACAATTATACTTGATTTAGATTTACGTATTTCCCTTGGTGGTTCAGGTTCGACATCTTCCTCGATACATTCATATTCTAATTCATCTTCTTCCTCCTCTTCATCGTCATCATCCAATCTCTTGGTTTCTTTGGTTAATTTAAGTGACAAGGTTGTTGTTGTTGGTGTAGATGATGATGAGGTACCAGGTAAATGGGGTAAAGTTGTTGATGTGACAATTTTTTGACCAATTTGAATTTGAGGTGAACCAAATATTTTGTCTGCAAGAGTGATTAATAATTGGACTACACGAGTTTGATGGACATTGTCCACTAGAGAGCATAAACCAGCTGGACCTTCATTGGTTCGTAAAAGTGTAGGACCAAAAACAATACCTAAATTGGAAGGTGGCATATTGTTAATTAGATGATTATCAGCGATACTTTTCAAATGATGGCACAGGTACGATAATGTTTGATAATGAATTAAGGGTAACTTTGAGGTTGCCTCTTTTAAACAGGTAACAATACGTTCAGTTAATCGTGGATCCTCCTCAGGTCGAGTTCGCAATGGATATTGTTTGGCAATACGAATAAATTCAGAATAAGCTTTGTAGGTTAACAATGGTTCAGGTAATTGACGAAGGTAAAGTTTGAGTACATTGGCAATCACATTTGGATGAACATCAGAAAGATCACCAACATCATTACCCTTCTCAAAGCTTCGGCAAAGCTTATCTACCCGAGATTTAACACCACTAACACGATAAAGTCCTTTAACACATTTACCCCGTTTCTCCAATTCGGTGACACATTTAACAACAATATAAGGTATCTCATCTCCACGAGACTTTAAATCAACACCAAAGGTGCTCATGTCTCCAAAAGTAATACCCTTCCTTTGACCACAAGATTGATTTCATCTGAGACCAAGGCATCCTTCACATCTAATACCAATGATTATTGCATATTATTCACTCCCTGATTCAATCACCATAAGAGATTACCTGTGAAAAGATGAGTTAAGATAATAATTAGAGCTCATAATCGACTTGCAACTGAAAGGTAGAGAGAGAGAGAAGAGGAAATGATAAAGTAAACAATCACTTCTACGCGAGAATGAATAATATAAAATCGATCATGTTGATTGGAGATGAAGAGAAACATTCAGTTAGAATTGAAATTCATTGTGAAATTTAAGGTAAATTCACAGAGGAAAAAGATAATGATGATGATGAGATGTAAATTAGATCAACGAGGAGAAAATGAGAGAATTAGGAAAGGATAGACAGAGAGATAGAAAGAGAAGACAGAGAGTTAAGGTTTACCCTAGAAAAAAAATCTCGAAATAGATGAAAAGAAACGATAATTAGGAGCATATTAAATTCTATTTGTGACTAATTAACGGAAAAATTGGATGAGCAAGGTGAAGAAAATTAGATGAAAATTGTCCACTTTACCTGAGAGATGATCAGAAATGAAAGAAATGAAAGGAAAAGTGTTAAGATGATGAGGAATAACAAGATAAAAACAAGGGTAACATGATGATGATGATGGAGACAAGAGGAAGAAAAAGAAGAGCAAGATGATGAAGATGATGATGCACAAGGAAGAGAAGATGAAGATAAACAGGGAAATTGGGTTCGAACGAAGAATCCAAACTGAGAGGATGGAGAAGAAAAGAAAGAGAAAGGGAAGAAAGAGAAAATTAGGAAAAAAAGTGAAACATTTACAAGAGAAAGAGAGAAAGATGAAGACGAAGCAGAACCAAAGTAAAAAATTCGAACAAAAATTAATAGAAATTTACATGAGCAATTTATTGATCATTTGAATAATTAAATTGATTGTTTACCAATCAAAGTGTCCCCATAGTTTGTCGATTACTTAATTTCGTTATAATTGTTTACCAAAATAAAATCTTCTCAAGGTCCAAATAAAGATTACGATAAATGAGTTAACTTTTTTTTTCAAATTTTTGGACATTTCATCAAATCGTTAAGGTGAAGATCATTCAATCCAATAGTTTGTTTGATTTTCTAGAAAATTTCATTAATAATAATTCTGTTTCCACTTAACCAGTCAAGTAATTAACTGATCATGTTTTCTAAGAAGATTATCATTATTAATAACAAAGTACCAATTGGTTACTAAAATAATAGATAATCACAATTAAGTTTATCGAATCTCTAAATTCTGTTAATTGTGTTTTGCTAATTGAATCTGATTCTTTAAACGATTCATTTAGCAAATTCAAAATTCTTTTTTCATTCATCTATTAAGATGTGAGATAAAGATTAATTTAGATTACATGAGATTAATTTAGAAAGTAAACAAATTAACGTAATTGTCAAAATGATTCCATGAAAGAAGAAATTGAGCCTAAATATTGTACTTGTTTTCTACGTTGCCACTGGTTACCGAACTTCTCTCATTGGTCAAATCGAAAACGTGGGAGGAGCTACGCTTAGTGTTCTTTTTTGAACCTTTAGGAACATCGTTATTTAGAAACTAGTCTTTGTTTTCTTCATCCAACTCGTTTCACGTTTTAATCATTTACAGCAATTAACTAAATTTATTTTCTTTTAATTTCTCTTGATAAATTATTTTGATAATTCTTGTTTTGTTCTTGGGTGAATGTTAGGTGGTTTTATTGTTCTTTTTTCAATTTGATTCTTCGTACAATTGGTTTTTCTTTTTTTATCGGTTTTGTGATTTTGCATTTTGGCTTTTGGATTTTGTCTCCTTTGTTTGGTTTTAATTTTCAACATGGAAAACAAATCACCTCTTTTACCGCCACCACCGCCACCACCTCCTGCATCAGCTTGTAGAGCTGATGAAACACTTCAAATATTGGATCTTGAAAATCTTGATCTGACACTGACCACTTCTGATTTGGGTAAAAATTGTAAAGAGTTTTCTAGCTACGCAACCGATATTTCTAGTGTCAATGAAATGGATATGGCTTTTGTTGATTCTATTCTGGAATTGTCCAAATTTGACCTATCTAAACGTCAATCTTCCAAGTATGAATTATCTAAACTGGAACTATCAAAGCAAGAGCAATCAAGTCAAGAATCTTCTATTCCTGAGCTACTCAAAAACGAGATTCCAAAACATGAATCATCTATCATTGAGATCTCCAAGCAAGAAAAATCTAAACACGAAGGATCGATAAACGAAAACGAAGACATGGCTAATAATGAGATGACTAAATTTGAATTAACCAACTTGGAACTATCAACAAAACGTGAAATATCAAACCGAGAACTTTCCCAGCTCGAATCATCCATATTAGAAATGCCCAAGGACGGAATCTTCAAGCACCAATCATCCAACATAGAGATTCCCAAACAAGAGGTAACAGAAAATGAAAATGAAAAACCAAAACCCGATGAGGTCAGTGAAAAGGTTTCCATCGGCAATGAATCACCGAAACCAGAAGATTTCAAACACGAATCTTCCATAGATGAGATGTCCAAACCCGATCTGATCGAGTTCGCAACACCCGCTCGGCCCGAATTCAATATTTCGGCTCCATCTCCATTCACCTTCATGATTAACAAATTTTCCAAACTGGCCTTAGCCACACCACCCGCTTCCACCCCAAACAAGCCTTGGTCCTCCTCGAACAAGCCAGTCAACCCGAACAACACCCCCACCCAAGAGGATGTTTCATCAATTGATCTGATACAATTCAGTTTGGATGAATCTAATTTTGAAACGTCCATCCAGTCAACAAAAAATGAATCATAAAGCTTTTAATTATTATAATCATACAATTATAATTGTTCAGAAAGAATACAAAAATATTGGATAAATAAAATTTTACAGTTGAACAATAATCTCAATATATTCCTTTTGATTATGTAATTAAGTTGATTATTAGCAATTTGTATCGAAAGAGTTTATCCAAAAAAGTTAATCTCTTTTTTCAATTGGATTAGATTTAAGTTATTTGTGTGTATTAGTTTTTTTACTCCTTTGATTTGAATGATTGTTTTTAAGCGGTGATGATGAAATTGATGACGATTAAAATAGATGAGTTTTTAATCACTAAAATGATACGAAATTAGCTTTTAGTCTCTTTGATTGATGAATTGGATGAGAAACTATTTTCTGTGTCTTGTTCAGCAAGTGAATCAAATGTTTGATTAAATGAACGAGATGCAGACATTTTCATTAGATTATAATCGGAAGCGGAAGATGACGGGGTAAAGGCCACTCCAGATGATCGACTATAAGATCGAGAGGAAATACTGTCCATTGAATGTGTGCGTCGAAGATTCGATATTTGAGAGATAATATTTGCTCGAGCTTCATCATTCGTCTCATCATCATTAGCAGCGAGTTTAAATTTCCGACTAATTGATTGTAAATTGGGCTCTGATATTGATAGACGAATCTCTGGAAAATATTTGATTAGATCAACTGGATCAATTGAATCATCAGGGTAATCTTTAATTGGCAAATCGGAGAGACACTTTTTCATATAAAGCGATTCGGCTTTTCTTTTCGTCCTTTCTTTTGTACGAACACCAACCGCTTTTAAAACGGAAGACATTTTCCTATAATAATCCATATGACCAGAGACAATTTCACTTAGATCAATATTACACATTCGTCGATCTTTCCAATCAACTGGTGCAAGTCCAGCGATTTTAAGCGTAGCCGTTGAGGTTCGATAGAGAAATTTGAGAAGCCAATCACCTCTACAATAGCCGTTCACCACACGACCAGAGACCACACGAGAAAATTGTTTCCATTGTTGAGCATTACCAGCGACGGGAGCACCGAGTAGGATGACATCTTCTATTATACCCTCGGAGCCTTTTCGAGAGACTAATTCTTGTAAACAATAAAAAATGGCTCGAGCACCAAGAGAGAAACCGATAAGAGTAACTGGTCTACGTCCTTGTTGCCGAGAAATAAGGATTTCTGCCAAGTGTTTTCCTACTTCAGCAGAGCGACGGATACAAACACCCCAAGGATTATCAATGACGGAGGCAAGAGTAACTAGTGAAGTGGGCCAGGCGATTGCCGCCATTATACCTGAAAGAATAGTGTATTTAAGAGCTTCCTGAGCTGCTACTGAAACAGCGAAACCGAGGAAATAGTCAAGGGCACGACCAAGTTCTAAAAGGAACGCAGATTCATAACGAATACAATATTGTTCTCTAGTGTTTTGAAGTGTTCGCCAAGGCTCTTGAAATGCTTTAGGCCCTTCTTCTGAAATCCAACCGGAAACGGCAATGGTTATGTGTAACTCACGACCATCGGACAATTTGTCAAAGGCAAACTCTTCAATATCTCCAACTCGTTTTTTCATCTTGTAGCCCGTTAAACCAGCACCAGCGACACCGAAAAGTGATCCAATCACAGCAATACCTGCCGTTGATCCGAGAGCAGCAGCACCCGCACCACCGATAATAGCACCGGCACCAGCGGCCACAAAAGGCGCTGCCAAACCACCAGTTAACCCGATAATCGCTCCACCACCTAATCCAGCTAATCCGATCATAAAATATCTTTTAATCTTTTTATTACGACGACGTTTAGCTTTCTCCTTAACATCTTCCTCACTTTCGGACGGAACATCATTGGTTAACATTTCAATCACTGATTCCTCGAAAAGTTCAACCAATTGAACAGGAACTCCAAGAACATTAGCTACATAAAGAACTAGAACTCGCATTCGAGAATCATAAACTCCTGTAGAATGAAAATAAAGAAAAAGAAAAAGAATTTAAAACTGATCAAAGAAGCGGAATTCCCATGGAATATGAGAAAAAGACAAAGTTTACCTTGTTTCTTTTCACCTGATTCTTTTTGTTTTGATAGCAATTCAATGAAAACAAAAGTTTATCAATAATTAACACACAATACACAATTAGGTGAACAGTAAATCAATTAGAAAATTCAACAATGAATAAAAATATATTTGAATAGAAAATTTACCTTCTCGAACTGCAAAAAGTACCAATTCTTCAATTACTTTTAAACAAGTTGTTTGTAAAATTTTCTCTTCCCTGAGCAGATTAGCGAAAGCGTTAATATCTCCCCCTTCACCGGACATGAGGGCATTCATTGAGTTTTTAATCTGCAAGGGAAGTCCGAGATGCTTAATGAGAGATTCCAACGTATCCTCACGGAATTGCCTTTACAATTAAATGGAAAATAATAGAGAAAATCATTAGAATAACAATCAATAATATAATATTACGTTAATCACAATGACGCAATAGCCATAAATAGATGAGAGTTAAATTGACATTTACTGAGCAGATGAACAATCATGATGAATCGTAACTATTATCAGGTAGAACTAAATTTAGATCAAGATGAAAACATGAATACTTGTTGATTTGTTTGTTAATTTGGTAACAATTTAAACATATGTTTGATTCTCATGTTTCATGTATCCAATATAATTAACTATTTATGATAAAATCTTAATTGTTATGAATTGATTGTCATCAAAGTTGATATGAAATAAATGTTAACTATTATATCTCATTTGTAAATCATTTGAGTTTGTCATTGGTAATACGAGAGAGAGAGAGAGAGAGAATGAGATAAATAAAAGTCACTCTAATTGTTTCCAATTGTAATTGTAAACTAATATTGAATTAAGAGTTTGAGGCTGACAACAAGATTCCATTGTTTCAATGGCGATTACATGGTAACTGTGGTAATATATTCGTTTCGATGATCGTTCACTTACTGGTCCCATTCGTCGGGAAATAATTGACAAAAAGCGAGCGCAGTGAGGCCACAAAGTGAATAAATTCCTGCATCACTGATTAACGAGGTTAATGGTTCACTTTGAGATGATAATGAATTGTATCCTGTAGATGATTAAGAAAAAAATAAACGATATTAGAAACAGAAAAGAAAAGTGAAAAAACTAAAGGGTTAGATTTAGATGATCTTTGAGGAGATAATTGTGAAAAGAAAATGTATTGAACATAATTACCAAGTGAACTAGGATTAGAACATGTTTCATCCGTATCATCCATTGTATTTAAATCACATCGTAGAAACACTGATTGAAATTAAAGAGAAAATTAAAATAAATTGTATAAGATACACAATGAGAATCTAAAATATCACCGTCATCATCCTAACCATTCATGTGTAGGTGGTGAATCGATTAAATGAAAGAAAAAGAAGAAGATGGAACAAGAAGAAGAAGAGAAGATGATGATGAGACTAGAATAAAGGCTTGGTGATTATCGTACAAATTCAGTGATTCATTAATTGTTTAGAATAAAAGGAAAATAGAAAGAGAGTAAATTGTTGATCATTTGCTCTCCTTTTCACCAAAACAAGAGTATGTTAACATTTACGTAGAGAGAAAAGGAGAGAGAGAAAGAGAGAGAGAGTTAGAGAGAGATAGAAAGAATCGAAGAATGAAATTATATTATATACATTGTGTATAGAAATTAAAACAGTCACTTTGCTAATAAACAATTGAAATTAAATCAATAAATTTAAAGAGGAAAAATAAACTCACCAAAATGATTTGCTGATCTTTTTACATGAACAGTTAATAAAACTGGTAATCACCTTGTCAATAGAAACAAGGTAATACCTTTTACATTGAAAGATGGATATCACTGTGATCATAATTTAATTAGAAAAGAAGAACAAATTAAATGATGATCAATGATGATTATAAATTGAAAAGACTAGGTGACAATTAAGTAGACATTAAATCAACAGGTTGACTGTTACAATTGGGCGAAGAAATGAAGAAGACAAAATAATCCAATATGGAGGAATCAACATATAGAAAAGAACAGAAGAAAAAAAAAGAAACAATGACAATGTTGATGGTTAATGTTAAAGAAACAGAAGATGAAGATGATTAAGGTAAAGATGTAAAAGATATTGATGATGAAGATGATGATGTAAACAGGTAAATGTGACAAGAGAATTTGAATTTATGGGAGAAAAGAAGAAACTGAAAAAAAATGAACAAATTGAAATGTTTGTTGAACCGAAATGGTTATCGAAAATGAAGAAAAGTGAAATCAAGTTGATTGTTGAACAGTTGATCAAGTTAATTGTGAAATTTTGAGACACTTAAAGAGTAACAAAAAATTAGAATCAATTAATTGTTGGATCAATTTGTAAGCTCATGTTGTTGACGTTTCCAATCATCAGAATGTTGTGAGTTTCATTGTTGTTGTTTTCTACTTTCTGGTTAACTGAAAGAAAGAGAAAAAGAAAGAGAAAGAGAATAGAATTTTTTGTTATTGTTTTTTTTTCTTCTTCTTCAACAGGTTGGCCTCATTCGCACTTCAAGTAAAAGTGATTCTACTGTTAATTGTACAATTTATTTTATCGATTGTTACAATTTAATTTCTACCTAAGTGTCCAGTTAATCTAATTGAATCACCATCAGAATATAACCTTGGATATTTAATTGGATAAATTGTTTTCTATTTTTGTTGATACAAAACATTCATCACATTTTCATCATTTCAATTGAGTTTTTTTTGTTTTTTCTTTCACGATTTAATCTTTTAATTGTGAGTGTGAATTATTTTGATGATTGTTGATTGAATTAGTGAATTAACTCACTAATTAGTGATTCTGTTTTGTTTTTACCTGTTGATTAGATTCTCATTTGATTCTTATGGTTAGATTTAGATCTGTTGTTGAATCAATTACTTTTTGTAATGATTAATGTTGTGTTTTTGTCATTGATAATCAATGATAAGCTTAACTATTTATCCATGTGAAAGTTGTTTGCTAATTTTGCTAATTAAGTTGTTCAGTTTTAATTAGATGAAATTGTTACAGGGTCAGGGTAACGATTTACATGTACATGGTTACATTTTGGAGATAAAATGTTTAAGGACAAATGAAGAATTGAGATTGAATGAGAGAGACACTTGAATTTCATGTTAAATTGATTTTCAATATTTTCTTTAATTTCTCCGGTGATTTATTGTAACCATCATTTAAGTTTACATATGAAATTTCAATTCTAACATGATAAAAATTGAGATTTAAGAAAAAAAAAATGATAGCATTTAAATGGTGTGAAAATGTTATGTGATTTACGGTCTTGTTGTTATGTTTACCTGTTAATTATTTTTCACTTTTTCAATTATAATTTATATTACATAATCGTACAATGGAAAATAAGGAGAAAATTAAGATAAATATTAGTGATTAAAGAAGATGACCAACAATTAATTCTGATTTCTTAATTTCTCACATCATTTTTTGTAGGAATTAATCATCAGCATAATTTAGAGATTGTTGAATATATTGGTCTTAATTTTTAAATATCAAGAGAAAGAAAGAGAGAAACTTGATGTTGATGAGCTTTTGATGTTTGTTTAGTACAATTATGTTTGTCTTCCCATTTCCTTTTCCTCTAATGCCTCTCTCACCTCTAATTGATTGCGTGAAAGAAAAGACAGAATGATAACTTAATTAACAGAAAAGACCCAAAGAGATTATGATAATCATCAGCATTAACATTTCTTCAACAAAATAATGGACTATCTCTGATGAATATCAGTAGCATGATGAGTTGTGATGAAACTTTTTCTTTTCCTTTAAACGAAAGATGAAACAATGATTATCCTTTTAGCGAGCGTGTTTATCTGTATATTAATAGGGTAGACCGGCTTTCTCTCGACACTTTTGCATCAACGCTCGAAGCATAAATTGTCTTCTTGATAATTCACGAACATTCTGTAAACCATAGAAACAAACAATTAGTACCAATATTAACAAGATGATTCGGTTCATTAGTATAAAAAAAAATTCTGTCACATTTACCTTGAGAAAAGCATCTAAATCAATGACACCTTTTCTTCGAGCTTCTCCTAAGTAATATATGGCATCTACAGTTGCATTTTCCTCAGCGAAGGCATTTAACAATCTAAATTAACAAGAGAGAAAGAGAAAACAGTAATTATATTGATCGATATTTCAATGGTTAGTAATTTAGATTTAAATTTGGAACCTACTGTTTATATAAAGGTTCTTGAGGACCAAACGCATCGTCTATGGCATTAACTTTTTGTTCATTTTCAAGTTTGACAATTAATTCATCAATTTGAGCGGTTTTTGTCTTGAGAGTTTGTTTACAATTTTCCAAATCAATTTTATCTTGTTCCATTCGTTTCATCAATGATTCCAATTTCTGTTTACCGCGACCTAGATCATCCGAGTATTTACCAAGTACATCATTCTCAGCGTAAACTCGTCCCAATCTTTCCCTTAATCTTTCCTTTACTTTATCATTAACTGCGGTAATCAAGGAAGCTCGAATATGCTCTTCGGTAATTGTTCTAGTATTTGCTGAAGGTGTTGAGGTTTGGCTGTTAACAGTAGATTGTTGATTATAACCAGTTGATGGTGGGTAACCAGGATATCCAGGATATGATGGGTTTTGGATTGGTGGATAAGATGAATCGGAATTAGGAAAATTACTGTATGGATATGATGAGGTTGGATACGGTGGATTAGCGCTTGGATAAGATGGTGAGGCCACAGAGGTTGAGACTGGCGGCATATTAACCGTTGTTGGTTGATTAGGTAACTGAGAATAGGCTGAAGGAATGAAAAAAGAGAGAGAGAGAAACAATCAGTAAATAAATCACATAAAGATGATAAATGAAAATGACTCAACTTGCTAGTTGATCAATTCAACTGATTACTTAGAGTAGTAAAAAAATAAACATCAATCTGATGTTGATTAACGTTTCAGAGAAAACATGTAATTCTCATTGAATCGCATCTATCATATTTCCATTAGAGAGGAGAGAAAGTGAGTGAGAGAGAGCAGAGGAAAAATAGTAAATAGAAACTATGGATTTGTAAATGAATTCTTTGTTCGCAACAAGAGATTCTAAGGAAAAAGTCTTACTCTTGATATGAACAAAGAGAATACAATTTAAGGAAAGAATTAGGATGAAAAAAATTCTTTCTCTATAACTTGTATATGAATAACCTTGGAATATTGAATTGACAGAGCATTCAGAGTCTTTGTCAGGGTGGTGGACAAGACTGGGTGTTGGTAGAGTTCTAATGATAGTAGATTATTACTTTGAGTTGGATAAGGAGGCTTAACGTAAGGTTGTTGTGGTTCCATTGGTGAGGTTTTTGGCTTTTGATAGACCGGAGGTGTTTCACCAAAAATGATTATCATAACCTGAATGGCACCAAGAATATCACTTGAATCTGCTTTCCAATCGGACAGATAGGGTAGATAAATTTTACCCTCATGATCAACATATTTAGATATTTTTATCGCCATTTCGGATGTTGGTCGTACATAACACATCGGCGGTGAATAGGGATGATCTTTTTGGACAAATATACCCACAGGTATGTGATAAGTGCTCCCTTTAAACGAGATTGGAATAGTTCCATGGAGTAGAACCAAATCTTGTTCTTTACCGTCGGAGAAGGTATATTTTTCCAATTTGGGCTGTAATCCCCGATAAAAGCCTAATACATTGGCGATGTCCTTTTTGGCTTGAGTTTGATACTTATACTGGAAAGAGAGAACAAAAATTAGAGTAAATTTTTGAGACAAAGAGAGAAAAAAAGACAGAACAAAGAGAAAAGGGAAACAGAATAGAATAGAAAACAAAAACAATATTCTTTTCTTTTCCACCTCAAATAGAATAGAAAATAATTTTCCTCTGATTCTTCTATAAGTCTCATTCACCTTTCAATTCTTTTAACATCTAATAGCCAATGGTCATTAACATTAACAAAACAAAAAGAAAACAATTGAATCAATAATCAATTGAACAAATTACAGAGATGAGATCAAATTAATATCAACTCACAGCTGAAGAGAATGAGAGAGTCTTGGCAAAGGAATAACATTGAAAAGGAGCAGCCTAATTGTTGATTATAATCAAATGAATAAAATCTACACATAGACAGTTTTAATTGAGTCTACAATTAATGAGAAGGCCAATAGAGACACTTACCTTGCATCTTCCTAATAACATGACCAAATTATTTTCCATTTTTAATTAGTAAATAAACTAAACACAAAAACAAAAAAAAAGATTAATCAGAAAGGAGAGAAACAACAGAAAGTGGTGATTGTGGTTGGTAGGGATGAGAATGATGATAGAAAATGATGAGAATGATGAGAGAGTGAAGATAGATGATGATAAGATGTTGTTGTTATAAAGAATAAAGAAAAAATCAAAATAAAATAACAGAGAAAGAGAGAGACTGAGAGAGATCAATGTAAATAACAAACAACCATTACAAACAGAAATGATGGAAAGAGACAATCAGGAGAAAGAGAAGATAAATTTCTCTCTCTCTCTCTCTCTCTCAAGGAAGAAAGAGGAAATTAGACAGAGCACAAAATAGACAGAAATGAAGAGAGAAGATGAAAGAGCAGGAAGATGAGAGAAAGGGGCAAATGTTAATTAAATGGAACAAAATCAATTTCGAATTAATTTAATTCGAAACGATTGGAAAATCGATTAATTGACCAAATTGATGTTCGCTTGGAGATTTTCTGATCATTTCTCTGATTAATTCCATGTTGTTGATTAGCTAATTTTCTTAATTATTTAATAGTTTAGGTTAATTTACAATTCGGCTCATTTTATTTCTGTTGTTCAATTGTTGAGGAATTAATTTTCTCTTTGATTACTTTCAACCAATTCCATTGCTGATTCTTTGAACAATTTAAATTCTCAATTTCTATCAAGTTAATTGCTAACAGATGAGACTAACAGGTAAACACAATTAACTTTCATCTTTCTCTTAATTGTTGGTTAAATTGAGACGATTGGTAAACATAATTTAAAAGATATTGAGTTTATTGACATTTTTTGATTAGTTTGATTCACTTTTAACAAACAATTAACTATCAAAATTTTGATCGCTTATTGATTTTCTTAATTGTTTTCATTGAACTTGAAACAATTTAACCTAATCAAGTAAATTTTTGTCCTTATTTAACTTTTTTGGAGAAAAGGTTGACAATTAAGTGATGATTTCTGTCCTTTTTTTAATCAATTTATTATTAAATTGTTGTGATTTGAAATTAATCAACTTTGATCTAGTTAATGGTTAATCATTTATGAAGGTTAATCAATGATTTAAATTGAACAATAGTTTTTATGATTAAGGTAATTGCAGGAAGAGGAAATTGAATCACTTAACAATTTAAAATGATAACAATTAGATAAACAATTAATCGAGTGATTTAACAACTCTACGATGTAATTGATGATTAGTTAATTGTTTATTGAATTATGAGATTTAAAAACAAAATCTTCAATTGGTAAATTAAAGATGATTAACAATTAGAGTGATTAAAAATAACTAAATTAAAGTAAATCAGTTGATTTAATAATAATTTAATTGAAAAATAAAAGTGTCACTTACAATTAAGTTAATCACCTTGAATTGATAACCAATTAGCACCAATAAACCATCAATAACAATAGACAAGGTTAATTGTTTAATCAATTGAATGAAACAAGGTAATCAAAGGAATGAGAAATTAAATTAATCACAACAATTAAGGGGAAGAATGAAAAAATTGTGAGATATTAATTGATAATTAACTAAATTAGAGAATTACAATTAGATTTAGTAAAATTAAATTGTCACAAATCATCAAAGCAATCCAATTGCAAATTGTAAATAAAAATGAAAATTAACATTGATTGTTAATTAAAACGAGACAATTGATTGTAATTAGTTTAGGTAAACACAATTAATATGAAAATTAAAAAGTAAATTTTGTTCACCTCGACCCAATCCTCTTAATTATTGCTGATGATGAGTGAAAACAATTAACTGTAAACCTTTTAATTAACTGATTGTTATTGATTTATTGTTTTCTCTTTCCCCAAACAATTAACTAATCAATACAATCATCTGCTCCCATAGGTCTTGAGATGATCGTCCAAGTATAAATACAATTTGATTGAAAGTAAATTGTCATCAGTAAAGTAAATTCGTACCAACAATTAACTTTAATTACTCTTTTGTTTTCTTTAATTTTATTTTCTCGAACTTCTAATCATCATTATCACCATGTCTTCAGCTGAAATCGCCAATACTGACCCTTGTTGTGAAGAGACTCATTGTGAGGAGGCTCTTTGTGAGACCGAGAAGTGTCATGATGCCCCTTGCGAAGGTGACAAAGGTGAAAGTGGACATTGTCATGAAGAGGGTCACCAATCAGAGGACAATTGTGGTCATCATGACGAGAAGCCTTCTGATGGTTGATTCATTTTCGCAGCGAAAATCTCAAGATGACCATCGCTCTGAATGACCGGATAGATGATTCAGTTGTGACCTTTTCCCATTCGAACTAAAAATTTTCATCTTAATTAACTTTTCTCCATCGAAATAATTAATTAATTTCTTCCTAAATGTCACTTTCATTTCTTTCTCTCTTTCTCTCCCGATCAATTTTCTTGTCCCTCTTGACCATCGATACTTTTGTCTGTCCAATTTGATCAATAAAACAATCAATTAACTATTACAACAATTAAAATTCATTTTATTCATTATTAATTTTAATCATTTTCTTGGTTAATTAACTCAATTGGTTTCCCTGAGATTTTACTTGTAAAATTTGGTTGATTAACATTAAACCAATTACGATAATTAGGTTGATTAACTGAATGAAAGGTCAACCGAAGGTTTAAATTTTTTTCAATTAGATTTGATTACTTAACAATCAACCAATTGGTAACAATCAGTTGATTTTATATTAGAATGTAACATTTCCGTATTAAATTTAATTAGTAAATTGTCCAAAGAAGGAAGAAGATGATTAAAGATGATGATTATCGTTAATTGCTGTTAAATTGCTGTTCATTTCTCGTGATAATTGTTGACAATCAATAACAATTTTCTGTGTAATCAAATCGACCATTTTTCCAATGGTAAATTGTTTGGACTTTTGTGAAAATCAACCAACAGGATAAATTGTATTTTCCCTTCAAATCTTCATAATCTACAAAACAATTAAGATTAACAATTAAAGAAAAATTAATTTTAACTTTCGATTGATTTTGTATATATAATCAATCTTAAAGTGATCATTTATTGATTCAGTTAAATTGTTTTTCTTTCTCTGCGTGTTTTTTTTTGTAGTTAATTTAGTGACAACATAACAATGAACTTAATTTACATTATAATTACTGTGACAACGATAATTTATCTGACCCATGGTCAAACATGGACACCAGCACCTAATTCAACTGAATCAGATCTTGATTATGTTCCTGAATGTAGTAAATGTGAGCGAATCCGTTTAATTGGTTGTAAGCGATCTAATTGTTTCTATCGATGTACTCGACGATGTTTGGACATTAATGGAACCGCTTATCACGGTAAGTGTAACAATTAACTTTCCAACCAACTGGAATCGAATGGAAAATCAGTAATAATAATAATAATCAATAATCTCCAACAATTAACAAGCAACAATTTCCACCATTTCTTTCTCAGAGGCCGTTCGTTTCTCGCTTAATGGAACATAAATATTTAACAAATGAACAAAACCCTTTCCATGGAATTAGATTTACAATTAGCTATCGAATGTTTCTCAAACAGTCATTAATTAGTTGATCATTAGAAATTAAAACTATCCTTTCTTTTAGATCTATTAAATATCTTGAAAATTAGGATGAAATCAGAATGACATTTCCGTGTGAATTTTGGGCTGTTGATGATGAGGATCGGCTGAGTGATTAATTGTTGTTGTTGTTGTTGTTGTCGACGATGAGGGTGGCACATGGGATGACGGATGAGGATGAGCTGAGGATGGAGGCGGTGGTCCAGCACCAGTGGAAAATGAAACACCATCTCCATCATCGAAAGTAGAGAGACCACAATTGAGAAGAGATTTAACCTGTTTAAATTTATTTCGAATCGATTCTAATGTCTTAACAGAATCTTCCTCGTGAATGTTGGTTCGATGGAAACGACGAGTTGATTCAAGTAAACTTTTCAAAGCGATAAGTTTCCTCTGCTTGGAATTCTCATCCTTCTCCAAAATACACAGCCAGGCATGAACGAACCCCTGATAGAATCCAATCTCAGCAGCAATCTGAGCACCTCGACGAACACCATAAACATAACCATCCCTCCAACCTGCTTCTTCACCCATACTATAGCCTCTTGTGAATCCCATTTGACGAAATTTTCTGCCAACAGATGAAAACAACAATTGAATCAAATTAAACAATAAAAACAATAGAAAAGCTTCGATGAGAATTCGCTTACCTTTGATCGCTTAGATTAATATCATCAAGAACTTCATTGAAATCTCTTTGAGTCATTGCTGGAGAACTGGAATTTTATTAAAATATAAATAATAATAAAAAGAAAATAAAAATAACATAGAAATCGAGATGTGCAAGTAGCGACATCTGTTCGCTTATTTGGTTAACTCTTTTTTTCGTCTTCGTTTTCAAATCAATTTCCTTTTATTTACTTTTCTTTTCTCTTGGTGTTTTTTTTTTTTTTTTTCTTTCTTTCATATTTTTCTAGGTTTTTTTTTGTTCTAGTGTTTTTATCGGTGTTTTTGTGTGTTTTTAGTGTTTGCGAAAATGTCTTGTGATGATGATCGGGTTGGTGAGAAAATAGAGAAAATTAAATCTACTCTTGCTACTTTTGCCGATTTTCCCAAGAAAGGAATTCTTTTCTATGACATTATGCCGATTCTAATTGATCCTATTGTTTTTCAATCGACATTGGATGTTTTATCAATTAAATTGTCCACTTTGGGTGATGTTGATGCTATCCTTGCACTGGAATCTCGAGGTTTCCTTTTTGGACCAACTTTGGCCTTACAACATAAATTACCTTTTCTACCGATACGGAAAAAGGGTAAACTTCCTGGACCAACAAAGTCAATCTCCTATTCACTTGAATATGGTCAAGATGTAATTGAAATTCAAGATGGAACAATTAAATCAGGATCGAAAGTTGTTATTGTTGATGATTTACTGGCCACTGGTGGTACTCTTGGTGCGGCCGTTAAGCTAATCAAAGACTGTGGCGGTCAAGTGGTCTCTTGTATGGTCATCATTGAATTGAAAGATTTGAACGGTTCCATTAACGTTCAATCACCAATCTATTCATTGTTAAAACTTTAAAACAGTTAATTGATCAACTATTTTTTTAACATTGGTTACATCGGATTAGTTATATTGATACATTCCTATTGTTTTGTATATTTAGTTTAACTATTTAACCTAATTTACTGATCAATGTTGTGATTTACGAGCTGATTGTGATTATCTAATCAATTGATGATCATTAATTTTACTCTGTTTAAATTAATTACTTTCTCTTATTGTTATAAGTAACCTAAATTGATTCACTAAATTTCAAGGTCTTGACTTTAATTTTTGTTTTTCTACTTAAATTAAACAATAACAATTAACAGACAATCAAAGCCCATCAAAAAAAAATTGGAAACTTGAATAGCAATCATAATAATTTTTCTGTATTATATCAACTTGATTAACTTTGAACAATTGAATCAATTGATTGTATTCATTTTGGGTGAATGTTAATTGTGTGGCATTGGAAAAAGTTTATCTATTCATTTTGAGAGCAATTGAAGTTAATTGTGATTAAGATGATGAAGGAAATGATGAGATTTGTTATGATATCATTATATTAATTTAGTTCTAAATGAATTAACAATAATGATCATCAATTGATGCTCATGATGTAATTTAAAGGTGATGATAAATTTAATCAGTATGATGATTAAGTAAATCATGTGGAGTTGTAAAGTTTTACAATTTTAATTGTCCAATTTGATTTAGTTTAAGGTTAAAATGAATTAGCATCAATCATACTCACAAGTAGATGACTTTTACCTTGATACAATTAACGAAGTGAATTAAGATAATCTTTATCTCATTCAATTAGGATGAAATGATTAGCACAATTAACTATCAACAATCAGTATTATTATTGTTTCATCGTTACAATTAACAATTTTTCTCATTAAAATGATCATGATTTCATCAGAACTCCTCATGAACGGATATTCAAATCGACCTCGAACTATTTATCAACATAGACAATTATTGATTCACCATTTTGATTGATCAAATTGATTTGATTGGCATTTTAATTGTACAATTCTGTTTGTTGATTATCTTTACAGCTAATTAACATTCGTGATTAACTAATCAACACTTTTTGTTATGCTAAGATTGCATTTCTCTTCCGGTAGTATTTGTATTCACTACAATTTGTAACAATCATTTACTTTAATGGTTGATTATTGATTAAATCATATTAATATTTAGATTTAAGCAAATGCAATCAATTAACAGTTAGTCACAATTAACTTTTAATATGATTTACTTACAGTTTATCAATGATAATTAAACTAACCGATCAGTGTAAACATTGAAAGTTTATTAGACTTTGTTGATTGATAATTCAACAATTGATTAACCTTAAAAAATATATGAATCAGTTAATTGTAATCAATTTTGTGTCTCTAATGGTTACAAGATTTACTGATTAGCCAAAAACAGGAAATCTAATCAGTTGGTTGATTAAGTTTACTTTGGAAATAGAATCAAATCAATTGAATCAATATTAACAACAATTTGAATTCGATTCATCACCGATTTAATCAACTTAATTTCTCTTGATTAGTAAACAAATTGAGCGGAAAAAAGTTACAGGTCACGAAATAATCAACAGTAAATAGCCAACAATTTATCATGATTAACATCCTATTTTCATTAATATTAATCACTAATCATCATTTTCTGTGTTTAAATTGTTACAATAAGAAAGACAATTAATCTATTAATCTCTGTATACAATCATGATTGATTGATTGTTGAATTTATCTTATTGGATTAACTTGATAAGAATTAAAAAACTAATAATAATCAAAATAATCTTGCAGTTTAAAATTAGATTGTTAATCGAAACAATTAGTTGATAACTAACAATATTTAACTAATCATATCTGCTAATTGTTGGTTCCTTTTAGGTCCAGTGATTAATTTAATTGTAATCCAACCAAAGGATCAACTTAATAGACATTAATTAAGATTGATAATGATTATGATAATTATCATTTGATTGTAACAATAATAACATTGTAATTAGTTTTTGCATATTGTTCACAATGTGATTAAAAAATTTAATTTCTCACATTAAATTGTTAATCTAATCTGTTTAATCAAGATGATTAAATAATAATCCTTATTTGTGGTGTTAATATTTTGATAGTTAATCTCATCAGTTGGGTCATTAGTCAATCTTAATCACAATTAAAATAGTTAATCATGAGTACCAACGATTCTGTGTCAAGTCTTAATTGTGGTTTTAATTGTTTATAATTAAACTTTTTCCTTTTCCTTTACAATTACATTTAATTGTAAATCAACTTACATACAAATTCACACTCACAATCAAATTAAATTTAATGATCATTTCTCGTTGACAGTATTTCCCATTGATTTAAATCAATCTAATTAAGTTTCAACCAAACAACAACATCAACAACAATCAAATTAATTGTGATCAAAATTTTAATATCTCTTTTCAAACAATTGGCATTTTTATTACGAGATACATAAGATTAATTATACAATTAGTTGATTGTCAATGTGAATTATAATCTAAAAAAAGGTTTAATTGTTTACAGAAAATCAAATGATTAAAATGGTCACTGAATGAAAATGAAACCAAGTTAATAGTAAACAAAGTAATTAATTGATTGTGGATCAAAATTGTTACACATTATTGGGATGATTATTAAATGATCGTAATGAGAAATTTAATTGATTTGTTTTAATGGAAGAGAAAAAAACTTATTTAATTGTAATCAAAATACAAAACGAGAGATTTAAGCATGGCCGCAATTAGATTTGTATGAGCAAATGATTGATTACAGAATGAAATTGATGATCAAGATGAAGATGATGATTGAGGTGATTGAGATGATTAATTAATCATGATGATATTGATGATAAGCAATCGATGAGAAATTGATTGTTGATTGTTAATTATAATTGAAAATTGTTGACAGAAAACGCTGCTGGATGAAATGAAGTCGGCGACGGCATCGATAATTGTTGCATCGATTTATGTGATCGACCTGTTTTCGTTGAATACTCAGAGTATCTTTCCGGATCCGGAATTGGTACATTTCCAGGCATCAGCATAACAGGTTGAAGGTTCATTGATTTTCTGGTCCCATTGTCAGCGATGAAACCATTATTAACTTCACCTGAGAGAGAGAGTGAGAAACAATTAATTGTCATCAGTTAATTGTGTGAAAATTAAACTTGAAAAAAACAAAATCTGATCACTGAAAATAAACCGATCAATGATTTCCTATTGTTTCAATTGTTGTTATTGTTTAGTTTGATTGTTGGTGTATCATTTTCATGGGTTAATTGCTATTAATATGAATTGATCATTTTTCTTCATGTTTATTAATCATTATCATGATCAACTAATTTCTTTGTTTATTGGTTAATCAACTTTGATGATTTTCTTTTCTGGGTTAATTGTTTTGATTAGTTTTTTTCTCTTCTAAACTTTTTTTCTTGGGTTAATCACAAATAACCAAATTTTATTACAATCAATGATTAACTGATTGGTGATTAAAAATCTGCTAATCACTTGTTGGTTAATCATTTATGGGAGTAATTAAGTTTACCGTTGATTAACTGTTCATTTTAATTGTAAGTTTTTTAGTGTTTTTTTTTGTTTCAAGACCAAAGACCAGAATTGTTGATGAATTAATAGCAATTAAGTGATTCAGTTTTGAATAATTGAAATACTGTAATCAAATTGTAATTAGTAATTTACTTTGGCAGCTCATTAAATTGTTGAATGTTAACAAAAAATAAAACCGATCACAATTAAAATCGATTAATGAATTAATTGAATAAGTGGGAGGAGGAAATGATATCAATCAGTAGTTAATTGTATTGCAATCAGTTGATTGAATATAATCAAGATCAAGTAATGAAAAAAAATTTTGTTAAATTACAAACAATTAGATGTTAATTGTTACAAAGATCTGATCAAATGTTGACCTAATTGCAACAAGGAATCTTAATTGTCGTGATTTAAATGAAAAACAGTTGCTGTTTATGGTAAATTAATCAATTGGTGAATATGATTTAATATCTAAATTATTATTATTAATAATCACAATAAGATGATAATCAACTAATCAACTAAATCAGTTTTAGAAAGAAAAACTCTTCCTTTGATTAAATTAATCACGATTTACCAATTTAGTAGCCTCACGATAATCAAACATAATCAAAATGATTTAAACTCATTTCCCATAAAGTTATCATCCTGATTATGATTAAGATTTTAATCAAAGAGAATCAGTAAATTAATATATAAAAAATGCTCCTTGATAAATCAATATAAAGTTAATTGTGATACTGATTATGATTAGAATACAAAAAATAGCAAAATTTAAACTGTATCCCACCTTCAACAATCAAAACTGATTTGAATCCTTTTTCCTGAATTAAATATTGATACTGATTCACTCGTGATAATCAAACTGTGATCAGTTAATCATGATAATCATGCTGATTAACTTGGATTCGTGTGGATGTTACAATTGATAAACAATTTATGTAACTGTCTCAGCGGGATTTGTATCAATAGTTAATGATTAAGGCGGAATCGGAAGTGAAATTCAAGATAAACAAGATGAAGATGAAAACAAAATCGACAAGACAATATCATCCTCATCATCATCATCATCATCATCTTACTCATCCTACTTCATCATCATTGATTAACCATCTTCAAGATTGTTTGTTGTTTATCATCAATGTATTTGTTTGGGAAAATCATGTTGATTAAATGAACTTGATCAACATCAACGGCCAAGAATCAGTTGATTGTTTGTATTTCACTATTGTCTTGTCATCATCATCATCTACCTGAGCTTTTTTTTCATCTTCCTCCCTTTGGTAAACTATTATGACCATTTTTGTTGTTCAGACTGTAGTTTCACCTCAAGTCAATTGTCCTCATGATGATGATGATGATACTTAAATGTCCTGATATGGATTTAGATTGGATTTCAAGTGATTAAAGCTTAAGGGGATAATCAAGATGATGATGGGATAGGAAGTTAGTTTTTGTTTGTCAACAACAATAATCAAAAACTTGATCATCTTGTGGGTGTGAAGATGCTCATCTTAATCATCTTCTTGATCATCATCATCATCGTCATGATATAATTCATCATATATCATGTATTGAATTGGTTACCTTATGAAACTGGTTTGTTTTGGGTTAATTAATCATTTAATTAATCACAAAAGGTGATGCGATTGAGTTGATTACAATGATTAACCTCAAGATAATAAAATGATAAAACATTTACACAGAATTTTTAATTTAGTTATTAACAATCAACACCTATTAAGGTAAATTGTGATTAACTATTGATGTGGGCTCAAGTATTTCTAGCTCATTAATTATGACAATTGTAACCTTTTAATTCATTGATTAACATCAACAATTAAAACTCTTAAATTGATGAATTACAAACAAGCAACAATTTCTCGATGTTTTGATTTGTAGATTTAAATTGTTTGATTGATGTTTGATTATCTCCATTATAATCTTGTAACTTATGATGATTAACATTGAATTTTACAATAAAATATGAGTTTGGCATTTTAATTGTTAACAATTAAATAGATAGAGAGTGAAAATTGAAAATCGTAAAATGATTAATCTGATTAATTTGATTATTACATGATAATTAGTTTGATAATGATGACCTGTAAAAGGTTAATATATATTAGGGTTTAACGATTAATATTTTCTTATGGTAACTGATTGATTCAGTTGATTGTTGATTAACTGAATGATAATAAATGTTAATTCTACAATTAAATGAGTGAGAAATCAACGTGAGACTTAACATTTTTGTTCACAACTTTGTTCACTTTCATGGGCTGAACATGAAAAAAAGTTTTCGTTTTCAGATCAACAATAAACTCGGTAAACTTATTTTTCTGATAAAAAATTAAAGGTAAGGCTTAATGAGAATTAATTGTTGATTAACTAAATTGTTATTCACTTTTTAAATTCACCATCATAGCTTTTCGCGGTTTGTTGTTACTGGTGATCAACGTTAATCATAAGATAATTAGGTTAATCATGATTAAAAGCGGAACCAATTGAATATCATGATTAGAAAGAAAGACGAACAGAAAACAAAAAGTTTTTCGATATTTTCGAGGACTTTTTTTCTAGAACTTTTTTCCTTCTCAATCTCTCCTCTTTGGATAAGGTTAATTGCTATTGGAATTTAATTTAATTGTTGAGATTCATTCTACCGACAATTCAACGGTATATAAAAGTACACTGATTGATTACAATTAGACATCAACGGTAAATTTAAAGTAAATTGTTGTTCGAGGTTGATTAAACTTTAGAACTTTTTTTTTCACTATCTCTTGATTTTTTGGTGAAAGTCGATGAACTAAAATTAAGTTTAAATTGTTATACTTTTAGTTGATTGTTGATCATTTGATAAATTGTTATTGTCGTTTCTTGGTACAATCAGTTGATTAAACTTCCTCCTCAGGCAACAATTTAAGTTTAACTGGTGATGATGAACCCGGATTTACAATCTTAATTATCATTATTGATTCAATATTTGTATTACTATTTAAATGATACAATTAAAATTATTGTTAATGTTTGACAATTAATTAATTTGGTCCTTTCTTAATGATTGTCTTGGGATATTAATCATGATAATCTTTGATGATTCTTGATTGTTGGTGCCTTCAACAATCTAATGATTATAAAACTAATTAATCTCATAACAAGATCTAATTTGATCACTTAAATTAATTTAATTACGTTATTATTATGATTTGTCAACAAGTTGATTAACTTTGATTGTGTTTGGCTGGTCGCTGGAGTGTGTGTATGGGAATGTGAATCATTTTTGCTTAACTAATTTGTTTTTCAGGTAATTAACTCTAATTACACAATTAAAGTGTAAACAAACAAGCAATCAAGTAATTGTATCAAACGGATTTTGGGATAAACTTTTAACTTGACAAAAGGTGATAATATAAATTAGTTTATTTTGATTGTTGTGATTTTTAATCATGATTATGATGAAGATAATTTTCTTGATTGTTATTAGAAATTTTTTTCTCTCTCTCATCTGTATCATCATTAAGACTTATATATTAAATACTACACATGTATTATGTATATAAACCTGAATCTCAAACAATGATTACTAAAGGTAAAAGAAGAGGAAACAACATAATCAACAGTTAACAGTGACAATCAAGCAACAATCAGGTAATCATCATCATCATAAGTCCGGAAATAAGGTTCCCAAGCCAAAATTTTGTCACAATGGGAAGTTGATGAAGCAAATCAACAGTTAACCAACAATCATATCGATAACAATTCAATATCATCAAAGAAACAATTTAATCAGTCTTGCGTCAACAATTTGATAATTTGATCAACAATCATGAGAAAGTATTATAAGATTAATCCTCAAATAATTTCCCAATATTAATTATTATCTAACTTTCCAATCAAACTCTGATTTATATTTTAAATTGATCGTTGGATTTTTCTCAAATAGTGAGTGAGTGAGAGAGACTTTAATTGTGATTAAATTGTTTATCTTACCTTTGTAAACTGAGCCCGAACTGTTGAGATATTGATCGGGAAGCATTTTGACATATCGAGTGCCCAAAATGAAGGCCAATATTGAAAGTACAGCGCAATCGACGACCCCAATCATGGCCAAAATGTATGCCCATCGGATACCACACTGACCAGCGACATAATTATCGGCATCCCGGCCACAAACCTCCTTAATTATCGGAGCATCCCAGCCCGCAGGGAAAATCAATACTCCAGCAAGCATACACATCGCTAATTAATCATAATTTAAAATAGAGAGAGAGAGAGAGAGAAAAACAACAACAATTAGTGATTAAATTTTCAGCTGATTGATTTCAGAAACTTTGTAATAACTTGTAATGAATATTATCGTTATTATTATTGACATCAACTCTAATTGTAAACTTAATCGTTTAAATAATATATTTAGAATTGATTATAATTAAATCAATTTACTTAAAATCAGTCAACCATTTGATTTATTGATTATCATTGACTTGGCGTTAAATCAACTCGCTAACTGTATTCATCTTTATTGGTGGTTGATCAATTTAACTAATACTAAATTGTTAATCGTTTTCAATCAATGATTAGTGATTATTGATTTTACTTTTATCATTCATAAATAATCAACTTTCAATGGTTAATTTGATTATGATAAATGTACAATTAATTGTTGCTTTTTCCCTTTCAATTTGGGATTACAATGATTACCTTTTTTGATTTGAAACAAAGAATTGATTGTTTATCTAATTGTTATTAAATTTTCAATGCCAATCAGTTTGATTGTAAAACTTTTAATTCAAAATCATTTAGTAAATTATCATTTTTAATTGTTGGTATTGTTTTGTTTTGATTTTTAACCAAAAAGTAATCACGATTTTACTTGATTTGGTAATCATCTAATCATGATTAACAATTTAATGATTTAAATTTTTCTACCACTTTTGTTGTTAATTGTAAATTGTGAAGAAGCAATTGACCCCAAGTAATTAATCTCAACAATCAAAGGGAATTGTTAGTTAATATAATAAATAATTTAACTACGATTATCATTTGAACCCACATACTATTACCTTTTTTAAATTGTTTGATTAAATTGTAACAATAAGCAACCAACTAATAACCATAACAATTTAGATGTGGTCACAATTAACCAACATGAAAATTTGCTTCTTATATATAAATTATGATTACTTAATAGTTGATCAACTTAATTGTAGTGATAGATTTTGATATTAATAACGATCATGAACTTGAAAAAAAGAATCAAGTAAATTACAATTATTATTATCGAACTGAATTTAAAAATGATTGATCTCAATTATTTAATCATAACCATCTAATTAACAATTTACCGTTAAATTAGTGTACAATTGTAATGATTAAGTATCGAAAGTTAATCTTGACCATATAACAAATGATAGGCAATGATTGTAATCATAATCATAATCATCATCATCTTCATTTAAATTAAATCAGCTGATTGGTTAAGTTTTGTTACCAACAATTAATTAGTTTGAGATTTGTAAACTTGATTAACAATTATAAAGGTCCAATGGTCATCAGTTGATTAATGATAATTAATGAATTAGACAATAACCCGGTCATGATTAATCAACTAAATTTACTTGAAACAAGTTGACAACAATAACAATATAAGTTTACAATTAGTAAATTGTTGTTGTTGGTTGATTGTCACGTTTGTTAATCCTGGACATTCAAGATAATCATCTAATGAGTTAATTTAATCACAACCTTGAATTGTGATTGTTATATTGTTAAGATGATAATCAGACAATTCACTTTTTCCTAATGTTCACCCACGAAATGAATTAAATCAAATTAAATTTACTTTAAGCCTAATTAAATCCTCGACAAATCATCTTCATCTTCATCTCTTAATTTTAATTTACTTTCTTTATCCTTTTAAAAACTACAATTTTCCCACTCATTTAATTTAATTCATTGAATTTACCTTTACTACTCGTTGATTGTTACTCTTAATCATCATTAACATTGTTATTATATTGTTGACTTGTGCACTGGTTGGTTAGTTAATTGTTACACAATTGAGGAAAGTTATCTTTTTTGGTCTCTAACAATTTAGTTTCAATTATGTTTCAGAATTACCATTTGACCTGTCAACTAAATTAACTTTGATTGTCGTTGATTAAATTTCAATGGAGGATAATGATTAACTTTCAATGACAATTTTTCATTCTGATTGTTGCCAAGAAAAAGTTAATTAGTTTTGATATTGTTTCTGAAGATCATCATTACCATTAACCCTCAGGTTATGATTTAATTTTGGTTTATTGATTGTAATTTATTTAAATCATTACTATCGAGTTGATTGATTTTTTTTCTGTTGCTGTTGGTTAATCGATTAGCAGATTATATTAATAATTAGTTGATTGTTTATTTTTAATCACACTTTGGTTATGATGTTTATCATAATCACGATCATCTTGAGTTAATTGGTGTTAGTTGTTTGAAATTATTTTACAATTAATTATTTGGAAAACATTTGATTGAAATGATTAAGATACTAAGTTAATCAAATTGCAGCTTATTGATTGTTGTGATCAGCTTGATTGTTGATTACTTTTGTTTAAAGGTTAATTAGTTGATCACATTAACAGCAAACCTTTCATGATGTTGATTATTTGTTTTTGTTGATCAAATTGTAATTAAATCTGCCAAAATCAATCAAGAAATTGATTGAAACGATTGTTAATTGATCAACAAGTAAATTAACTGAATCATCATCACAATCAAATTTAATTTTCTATTATCAAAAAAAGCAAAAACAATTTACCAAAACAAACACATTGAAACAATCAAATCTAATCACCAAGCTCCAATTGTTAATATTGTTGTAGTAAATCAAAACAATTAACCAATTGCTGTATATGACGAGAATTGTATTTCTAAAAATAATTTTTTCGAGAAGTTTTTATAAGGTAATAGGTGAGGACATAGAAAGTAAACTATCAGATTTTGTCTTTGACGGTGATCGAACTGCTCGAAAGTGCAAATCATTCCTGTGGTAGTAATTGCATAATATTGTTAAGAATAAAAAATCATTTTTCAAACTGTATTTTATATGAAATATGAATATGAACTTGTTTTAATATCGATTGATTATCGTTTTGACAGGTCATACTTTACGATCTTAAATGTCCAATAATGATATCAAGCTGAAAATCATTTTTACTCAATTTAGTATGGTCTACTAACCAGTTCGTTTGTTTAGATCGATTGACTAAAGTGGACTTTTACACAGGCCACATTTACGATCGAAAATATCTCAACAATAAAAGATACAAACTATATGTTTATTTTGCCTACATTGTACAAAAAAAGGTTCTAGAGTTTGCAGACATCATGAGCTTGCAAAACATTCTGTTTGACAATTATTTCAGGCAAAATAGCTTAAGATAATCGCTCAGCATTAAAAATTATTGAAAAAATGTTTCAGCCTGTTTATATCTTGAATCTACGAGAAATTTAATTTCTTGTAAATGTGGCCTCAAAAGTTCACTTTAGTCAATCGATCGAAAATATTTAGAGACATATATTGAAGAACAAATTGAGTACCAAAAAATCATTTCAGCTTGGTTGTATTCTTAGTTGTCGAGATATTTCAGATCGTATGGCCATGTCAAAAGTCGATGTTAGTCAATGATCAAACAGACCAAGTTCATATTACATTTATCATAGAATTAAGTTAGAAAATGATTTTCAGCTTGGTTGTAATTCATTGTTGAGATATTTTCGATCGTAAATGTGGCCTGTAAAAAGTCCGCTTTAATAATCGATCTAAACAAACGAACTCAGATTGTAGTAGACTACTAATTGAGTACCAAAATGATTTTCAGCTATGTATTTTTTATTGTTGAGATATTTTTAGATCGTAAATGGCCTGAGTAAAAGTCCACTTTAGTCAATCGATCGAAAACAACCAAGTTCATATCTTTTATATTTTACTATATGAATTGAGTATAAAAATGATTTCAGTCATTATTCTTAGTTGTCGAGATAGGCTCAAACTTTTCTAACTCTTAAAATCGTAATTGTGTAGAATTGACTGTCGCAAAAAAAATTATTAATATTTTGAATCAGTATTATTTATTCTGTCAGAAAAGTTGTTTTCGTCATTTTATTCTGAGGCATTTTCCCTATTCTTTTGGTTCTCGTCCTTACTTCATCCATTTAAAAGTAATCAAGAAAAATGATAATCAAGATAAATGGTGATACAATTAACAATTATAAAAGTGATTGATGTAACAATTAAATTGATTCAAAAAATGATGAGCAAAACTGTAACAATAAGATGATGATTAACAAAAAACGAGATCAAATTATAATTAACAATTTGACAAGAAGCAATTTAAAGTCCGGTAGTAACAATTAACAATAACCAAGTGAATTTAATTACTGGATTAACTTAATCATAGAGTAAATTAAATTCAACCAACGGAGCTTAATTGTTATCCTAAATGTTTGGACTACAATCCAATGGGAGTACAATTAAATTTGCATCTAACAATCAATTTGAATGGCTGAACAATTTAACCGATCAGTTAATCAGTTGAAATTTTCTAGATCACGATTAAATCAAGAGCTAGAATTGAAGATTAATCCAAGAGATTAAAGTTAATCTGATAAATTTTGGATAAATTTGATTTTGTTTAATAATTTTCCCTTTCTAATTAATCATCATGATTGAATCTAATAACTGGATTAACTTTTTCATTTAATTTGCTCATTTTTTGGTTAACCTTTCAAAGTTTTTGATTGCTGGTTTCAACCATTAGTTGATTGTCAGTCTTTCAGATACAAACAATAGACGTTAATCATAATTAAATTGACAAGGAAAACCAAGCGATCAACATGATCGCTTTTCTGAATAATTTTAGAAGATGGAATCAACGAACATTTTTCTGTCTTTTTTATTGAAAATTTTGTCAACCTTAATTTAAAACAGAGAGTTAATTATCTTGATTAACTCAAAGTTTCAATATCCCAGGCGTGCGGTTGATAATTGGAAAACTTACATCAATCTGATACAATTTCTTTTCTTCTTCAATTTCTGGCTGCCTTTAACGTCATAATTCATCCTCTCTCTCTCCCTTTCTTTCTTTTCCATCTAACTTTATTAATCTAATTAATATTTTAATTTAGTAAATTTAACGTTTAATTTTTTCATTAATTAATAACTTTTGATTGACTTCTAATGGATTGGT